ATAATGGTATAAAAATGCAAAGAGGAGCAAGAAATTGGTTATTCATTCTTATTCTTGGCTGGGGCATCTAAGTGGTTAGGGCATCTAACTCTTGATAGATTTAGCAATTGAGTGTTGGTCAGAGCTGAGTGTGATCGCTGATGAGCAGGCAGGACTGGGAACCACTGCTCTACTAACTTTAATAAAATATGAACTGTACACAGATGATTGGGAAAGTGAGGATGTTGCCAAGGATACATAAAAAGGATCCTTTTATTCTTAAATTTATGCTAACAGGTTTGAAAATATCAAACCTTTATAAGATATAAAAGCAAATTCTAATTAAAAATTATTATCTCCCAATATGGCAATATCTTCTTTCTCCCAATGTGTATCTAATTTATACATAATTGCAGTCATAGTTATTGTAATTGCTTACTTTTAGAAGTTAATAAAATGAATTGAAATTTTATCTTAAAGAATGAGCTGGCAACTTAGCAAAGAAAATTTTGGAACTGATAACGTGAAGGAGGTTTGTCCTACCGGTTGGTAGCATTTAATAACACAAAGTATTTGTACTAGTGAATTATGAATAGAAACATAAATGAAACAGATAGAAAACAGACCCCATATTATAGATATAAAAAGGAGAACTCATCACAAAGATGTAATTGCTTTGTGAATAGTAACAAAACCTAAAAATGTATGAAATAGAATTGAAGGGAGAAATAGACAATTTCATAAGCACAAATTTAATACCTCCATCAGTTGTTCATAAACAACTAGTAGTTGATAGTAAAAACAAAATATAAATAACATTATCAATCACCTTAAATAATTGACTTTTGTCACTGTATAATGTATTCAGTGACCTCAACAGAATTAAATGAGAAATCAATAACAATAAGCTATTTAGGAAAACTCTAAATATCTGGAAATTTTTGAAAATCATTTCTCTGTAATTCATGTGTCAAACACAAAATCACAAGGAACTCGGAAAATAATTTGAACTGAATGGCAGCAAATACAGAGCCATTACTTCTACTCTTAAAAGAGCCAATTATGTGTATCTTGCACTTTGTAGTAAAAGTTAAATATCAATCTATATTTGCAAAGAAAATCATTGACAGTTTGTGTTGATGATCCTGAACACAATTCAACATTTCCAGCAGAAAAAAAAAAATGTGCCCACATTTGACAATGCCACATTGCGACTATCAGCTAAAGTTAAAACCAAACCCAACAAAACATAACACAACTGTTTCACATTGGTTAAAAAAAAGTATTAAATATTTTCTGACTATAAATTTATTTAAACTGGAAATAGGTCCGTGATTTAACCTACTTACCAAAAGTTTGCTCAGATTTAAGAAGAGCCTGTGTGATTAAGAAGTGGATTGAATGTGTTAATACAATAGGTTGGATGTGTGAGTAGACATCAAGTAATTATAATTGGTTGTTAAAATATAAGTTTCAGCAGGGGACCCATAATGATACTAAAGTGAGGACAAAGTTACAAAATTTCCAGAAGAAAATTTGAAATCCAGTTTTGCCCACATCCTATATAATAAAAGTGTAGTATGCAAACTGTCCCCTCTACTGGGAGTAGGGAGGTCCTTGCTGGCGCAGGCAGTGAGGGGGAGGGGGGGCCTGACCAGCTGCTGCCAGCCACTAGGGACCCTACCAGTGCAGTATTTTGTGCACTGGGCCTCAGTTGAGGAATAAAAGAATCTAGTTGTTGGAGATTAAAGAGAAAGGCTCTTCTGAAAGAGCTTTTCTTTGGAGAGAACTGTGCCGAGTCCTGCTCCATCCAGTTGCTTCTCCCTTCATTTCAAGTTGAGAGAAAAGGGCTTCAAGGACACACATTAATGACTTGAGTTTTTCCTGAAGGCCTTGGGAGGCTGAATAGGAGTGGAGATGAAAAGCAGGAATCCTGTGGAAATGGTCATCTTGAGCTGCCAGATTTTGTTTAGATGAAGATTCATGAGTGCTTCCTATAGACCAGGCGTCTTCAAACTACGGCCATCACCATCTTGAAATTCTTCATTTTTTAAACAAACAGCTTTGTGTTTTAATTTTTTACCGGATCCCACATGCGGCCCGCAGAGGAGTCTGATCCGGCCCGCCAGGTTTTTTGGGCAGTGAGCGCAGCCGAGGTGTTACAGTAGGAATTAGTAGTTCATATAGTCCGGTCCCTCCAGCTCTCTGAGGGACCGTGATCTGGCCCCCACTTTAAAAAGTTTGAGGACCCCTGCTAGACTCTGTTGGGCCATGGACGTCAAAGAGTGTAAATGAGATTGATTCAGGTCCTATTTGATAGAGAGACATCGAGTCACTAGAATTGGTTATTAGAGAACATGAAGACCTCAGCCCACTAATACTGTTTTCTAGATGTTACACATAAGGAGCGTGTGCAAGGCTAACTTCATGGGTGTGCAACATATGTCATGGCAAAGGGTTACATGTTTGGGTGGTTGAATGGTGTGCCATCACCATCTTGAAATTCTTCATTTTTTAAACAAACAGCTTTGTGTTTTAATTTTTTACCGGATCCCACAGGTTATGTTTCCTGTCCTACATGTATGACCTACGTTAGGAAACTTTGGATGAAGGGATCTCAGCCTTGGGAGAAGGCGTGGTCCTCTGACGTTACCGAGCGCTCTGTGGAAAAGAGCGGTCTTTAACCGTGCACCACCCTCCCTGGTAAGGCTAGTGACCCAGTCAGGTGGAGTATTCCTGCTCCTCTCACCTCCATCTTCACCGTCCACCTCCAGTCTCAACCCAGAGAGAGCTAAGAGCAAGAAGATTTGGATCAAAAGAGAGCAGTTTTCATAAACTCTCCCTTCCCGAGTGGTGCACATTCAACCTGCTGCAGAGCCCAGCCTGAGGAAGGGAAGCTGGTATAGCACTAAGCTGGGTATCCTAATACCCAAAAGGAGACTGTTTTGTGTCTTAAAGTGACTATAAGACTTGTATTTGAGCCGAAACCGGTTTGGCTCAGTGGATAGAACATCGGCCTGCAGACTGAAAGGTCCCAGGTTTGATTCCGGTCAAGGGCATGTACCTTGGTTGCGGGCATGTCCCCCAGTAGGGGGTGTGCAAGAGGCAGCTGATCGATGTTTCTCTCTCAGCGATGTTTCTAACTCTATCCCTCTCTCTTCCTCTCTGAAAAATCAATAAAATATGTGTGTGTTTTTTTAAAACTTGTATTTGATAAAAAGTAGTTAGGAAAACCATGGGGCTTTCTCAGGATTTCATCCAGAGCTGAGGGCTGAGTTACTTGCATTAATACAAATTAAGAAACAAGTGGAAAGACAAAATAAAATTGCGTTTGAAATGGCATCTCTGAAGTGATACTTATTTGGTGTATTGATTACATAAGAATCTAGAAATATCAAATGTTTTTTGATTCATAAACCATGTTAACTTCTAAGTTTCAAATGATGCTCTGAAAGCTAGCTTAGATTTGATGATGAAATTGGACTTCTTGTAAGTAACATCTCCTGACTGATGAGATTTGGTAATAGGAAAAAACAAGGTCATTTGCACCTGTGTTTGCCTAGTTGTTGGCTCTCTGACCGGGGTCTGAAAATGGAAAAGTTTAGTTCAAAGTGGTTGCTTCCAACGTGAGGAAATGTAGGTAATGTATCTTCAGAAAACACGCTTAACATTTTGGACATTAAGCTTGCTTTATAATAAAGTAATTTCATTTTCCGCCAGCAGTGACATAGAATGATGTTTTTCTAGCGGCTCTTCTAAATGACCTGCGTTGGGAAAATGCGGCTAGCTCTCAATATATTTCTACTGCTGTTTCCAATTTTATGTAAAGACTGTTGTAGGCTAATTATCTAGAATTGCATTTAGTGCCATGTGGATGTGCAATTAACTTTGACGCTGATAGACTGACAGAGTAAAATGAGGTTGCATTCTTTCCTGGGATTCTATGAACTATATTTTAATGCCCTTCCATGATGAGATATTTACATCTTTTTTTTTTATGTACTTTTTAGAATTGATTTGAGAGAAAGAGAGGAAGGGAAAGAGAAAAAGAGAAGGAAAAAGAGACAGATAGAAACAGAGAGAAATAATGATTTGTTTTCCCAGTTATTTATGAATTCATTGGTTACTTCTTAAACGTGCCCTGGCCAGAGAGCAAGCCTGTAACCGTGGCATGTCGGGATGCTCAATGAACTGAGGTACCTGGTCAGAGCAAGATATTTACATCTTCTTAAATTTTCTAGAGTCTTCTTATTTTTATTTTTAAAAATATGTTTTCATTGATTTTTTTTTTTTTAGAGAGAAAGGAAGGAAGAGGGATAGAGAGAGAAACATCGATTGGTTGCCTTCTGCAGGCTTCCTACTGCAGATCAAACCTGAAATGTGGGCATGTGCCCTGACCAGGAATTGTCCTGGTGACCTCGTTTCATAGGTCAGTGCTCAACCACTGAGCCACACCAGCCTGGCTCTGGAGGTTTTTTGTAGTTGTTCAGGGTTTACAAAATGTGAATAGATTTTTTATTTTAAAAATTTCATGACATAATTTCTTCTTTGTCAAATATCCTTATCAATTCTTTCTGGCTATACAAAACTTGTAAGAGATTTATATTTTTGACTTGGTAAGTACTATGTGAAGTATAATTTATATGAACGTAGAGATCATTTTAATTTTGAACTTTTGCTAAAGCTTATTTTAACTGTTGATCTTTCTGATTTTATTTTAAATTAGGGAAGGCTGCCCCTAAAATTCAGTTCCTTGAAGAAGTGAATGTCATGGGAAATATATATTTGTATCGTTTGTCATTTAAAAGCCAATGTAAAGGTATTATAGATACAGTGGCATGCCAGGCTGTCAGGGGTTGGGGACACATTCCCCTCCCATCTTGCTCCCCGCCTGCCATCACACTTCAGCCACTACTCAGAACCGTTGTGAATACCATTTGGAAAAGCAATCGCAAAACCTTCTTACCCATCTCTTACCTTTCCATTCCTTTCTTCAGCGCATTCCTCTGCTTTTGTTTTAGGCTCGCCGGAAAGAGGTGTTTGTCCAGGAACGCTATGGAAGGTTTAACTTAAATGACCCGTTCCTGGCGCTGCAGAGGGACTACGAGGCAGGCGCTGGCGACAAAGAGAAGAAGCCGGTCTGTACCAACCCCCTGTCCATCCTGGAGGCGGTCATGGGCCACTGCAGGAAAATGCAGGAAAGGATGTCCGCGCAGCTGGCTGCTGCCGAGAGCAGACAAAAGAAGGTATTGATCCCACAACACAGTGTAGAGGGCAGAAACGACCTCTCAGGTTATCCTTTGTTCTTAAATATTGTATTTTCAAGAGGAGCTGGAATAAGTACTTAGAAATGCAAAATTCTGACGAGTTTTTTTGAAATGTCACTCAAAACAAACAAACAAACAAACAAACACAAAACACTAAACCAGAAAGGATGTCTGATAAAATAGTAACTCTTGTCACTCAAAATAAACAAACACAAAACACTAAACCAGAAAGGATGTCTGATAAAATAGTAACTCTTCTTCTTTGAGTTTCTCTTTTCTATGGCTACAAGACATGCTTAACTGCTAGGGAGATGATCCAGTAATGCAACCAGGGATCTGATCATATGTGGCATCCCCAACTTACTGTATCCAGCTTCTGTCCCAGATATTTCTTTAAAATTAAAAATCGCTTAAATTATTTCTTTGGAAAGTGAAACCAGCATGAGGAGAAGTAGAAGGAAAGTCTGCGTACAATCTCCCTGCGCGTCATGGTGCAGTCCTGGTCAGTCTCAGGCTCGCCGCCGGGGTCTGATAGCTGTGTGTGCTGCAGACCGCCAGGCTCCCGCTCACTCACGTGTTTCATTTAAACCAGCTTCCCCCCCCCCCCCCCGGCCTCCCCCACCAGCACACACGTACTTATTGTGCATGAGTGGATGCTTCAGAGTCCTGAGTGCTAGAAGCTTACCATCATCAGCCATGCAGAAATAGAAGTTTAAATTTTGTCCTTCCAGTACACAGACAAGCTCCGAATTCCCTTTAGAAAAGAGAGTGAGGGAATTGTAGAAGCTAATGATGCCTAGTATAATAATTAGAAGTAAGAGCAATGTATTTCTTTCAACCATCATTAAAGCATAAATTAAAATGTTTCTATTTGTCCTTTTCAGAGAACTTGTTATCGCTTCCAGGTAACACCTGCTTGATAATCACCCTGAATGTGCCATATTGTAAATATCTATGACACTGTCATTGATGTGTATGTCTTTTCTCTGTAGTTATATCTTTGCATTAACATATGCATGCCAGTGTTCTGGAGTGGGCATTGAGTAAAAGCAAACACTTTCATCAGAATGTCAAGTGGTAAGAAAATAAAGCCCTGGGTAAATTAGTGAAGAAGAAAGAATTGAAGGCTTTCCATGCACGTGAGGTGGAATCAAACAGTTTTACTTAAGACATTCCAAACCCTCCACAAAGCCCAGCAGACAACCACTGAGGCCTCCGAAAATGGTCAAAAATTCCCACACACCACACAAGCAAGAGTTAATGTATTTTAGCTGATGTCACTGAAGCTCATTTGTATTTCTTGAATAATACACATTTTCGTTATGTTCTTAACATGTCAAATGAGCTATTTCATAATAAAGTTTTTCTGGGTTTTCTGCTGTTATCAGAAGTTGAGAAAATATTTTGTTTTCATTGTAGTTTTTCACTTAATATACAAAATACATGCTCTCCTAAATTTTACTTCAGTTTTGCATTTTGTCATTTCTCTTGTAGAAAATGAGGAAGAAACTTATTTGGAGATCAATCAATGATTTTATTATCTAGCTTATTTTTTTAAATCAGCTTACATCCTGTTTGTTTCTGAATGGCTGGATCATTTCCAACCTGGCTGGTAGTGAAAGGAAATTGTTTCTGTCCTGCGAGTCCTGACAGACTAATATGAAATGAGCCAGCGATCGGTCGCTCCCATATAACGGGGATACAGTAGTTCTTTATGGCTGATTCATTGGCTGTGTAGTCTCACTGAAGGGTTGCTTTGACAGGCAGCACTATCTTCTGTCCTTAGAGGATATTCTGTCCTGGTAGATTGTACATGTAAAAAGAGTTACAGTTTCTACTCGTATCCTGAATCTTGCAAAGAAAATATCATATCAAGTGATGAGGTCAGAAAACAAGTCATCTTTTTAGCAACAAAACTACCTGCCACCTTTAGTTTTGAAAGTTTTTTTTAATTTTAATTTTTATATATTGAATTGAAAGAGTGATAGTGCGGGAGGAGTTTCTGTCTTTTCCGCGTCCATCTCCATCACAGAAAAGGAAACAACCAGGTTCCTGAGTGGAGGAGCTGGGGATTAAGAAATTAAAGAAAGAAAGAGACCAAGAGGCAGAAATAGATTCATCAAGCTGGGAGCTAGGTGGGCGCCATTTCCTCTGATGGAGAAGCAGAAAGCACCTGAGCCATGCAGCAGGTTTATTTTATAGGGTCAAAGGAGCTTATTTGCATTCTTAATAGGCCTTAGCATTAATGGATTTACATATCTAGACCCACCCCTGCTGACACCTGGACAAAGGTAAGTCAGAACTGACCATACCCCCCACCTTCTTGGGGAGGGTGTAACGCGGACACTGCCAGTGCCTCAGACTCAGCTGACAATTTAAAGAATGTCCATATGCCTTCCCAGGAGGCCCTCTACAAGGAAGAGAGAGAGAGACAGAGAGACAGAGAGAAATTGATTTGTTGCTCTACTTATTTATGCATTCATTGGTTGATTCTTGTATGTGCCCTGACCAGAATCAAATGCACCACCTTAGCGTATTGGATGATGCTCTTAACTGAGCCACCTAGCCAGGGCCTGAAAGTATTTTAACCAGACATTTTCAGTACCCTTGCAGCTTTAGAAATCTAAAATCAGTAAGACAAATCCATTCCTTTCAATCCGTCCAGTTCCTTAAGTTACTGTCAGAGAGAAAACCAGGGGAAGCAAAGGCCCTATTATCTACAACTCAAGTGTTTATGACCAGACGCCAGACACAGCTCGTGGGGGATTCTAACACATTTGGCCTGACGGCCGCTCTGCTTGGCCTCTCCTGAGGAGAGGAGGTGGCTGCTTGCTCACTCAAGCATTGGTTCCTGCAGAGACTCCTAATAGGAGGGTTAGCTAGTCATTTGCGTGCCAGGAAAATTTGGGCAGGGATAAATTTGGGTGACAGACTGAGCGCTTAAAGCCGTTTTGAATAAGCTAATGAGTAATCTGCATGGGGGACTTTGCCTCCAGTAATCTACTCTGCGTTGAGAGTCTGTAACCTAGGTAGGTTAGAATGATATTTGGGGTTTTTTAGTACTTATCTTGTACATCATCTGTTAAAAGAGTTTCTATCCTAATTTGTTTTCAGTCATTTTGCTCACACTTAGAAAGTATAATTTCTAACCCTAACATAGGAGGGACTTTATAACTTAAGCAGAGCCTTTGAAAGTAAGAAGCCAAGATAATAACTCGGGAATTCTGAAGGGAGTGATATTTTTTCCACCAGTGAAAAAATCTAAAAGTAGCTCTATTGGGTATAGCTGCTTCTCGGTGGCAGCTCAGCAAAATGAAGTCCGTTGCATGGCAGTAGATGTATCAGGAAGGGTTTTAGTTGTGAGCAAATGGAGCCAATATTGATTGAGTTAAGCAGAAAAAGTGTTCATTGGTTGTTTTACATTATGGTAAAGCCTGGTTGGGGACCAGCTCTCACCAGCCAGCATTACCCGGTCTGAAGCGAGTGATGTTTTTGCTCAACGGGAGCTGGATACTGCTGACTCCAGACAGCACCACTGCCATCACTGCTCTGGGTATGGAGGGATGCCTCCCTGGCCTGCCTCTTCGCATCCCTCATTTCCCACTGGAAGCCTAAGAACAGGTCAAACTCAAGCTCCACACCCTCTCCTCAGCTGCAAGGAAGACTAGGAAAGCTCCCAGACATGGGACGTATTTCACTGCTGTGGGGAGAACAAGGTGGAGAATTCTCCTTGCCGGAGCAGTTTCAGGTGCTCGACAACCTAAGAAATGACAGTTGAGCCAGAAAAGAATAATCAGGTTGTTTTCATTTCTTTCACATGCTTTGTCTTCCTATTATAGGCAATTGTACTGTACTGCCACTAGTGTTCAGTGCTCTCTACTTCATTACATAATGGTTTGTAGCATATAATTTAATTTTAAATTGCTCCCTAGACTTTCATTCAAGGACAGCATGGTAGAGATCCATCTAAAATAACACTTTTAGAAAGAGTATTTAGGACATTTTGTAAATGAGTGGTGGTTTTTAGCTCATTCCTGAGTCTTTTTTTTTTTTTTTTTTTTGTATGAGTCATTGTTACATTTCAACATGTATTTGACTTCACAGACACATTGCAGTGAGTGTTAAGAGGGAGCTGGAGACGTGTCTTGTGTTCCCTCTCAAGTAGGATATTTTCTTTTGCTCTATTTTCAAACTTACTGTCCTTTATAATTCTACTCTCTCAAGTCTGCTATGTAAGCCCATTCAATGAACTTTTTTTTCTTTGTATTTTTATTTTATTTTTATTGTTTAAAGTTTTTACTTATTTCAGAGAGGAAGGGAGAGTGAGAGAGATACAGAAATATCAATGATGAGAGAGAATCATTGATAGGCTGCCTCCTACATGCCCCACACTGGGGACCAAACCCTAAACTTTGGGCTTGTGCCCTGACCGGGAATCCAACCGTGACCTCCTGATTCATAGATGGATGCTCAACCACTGAGGCATGCCAGCTAAGCAACATTTTTTATTTTATTTATTATGCTTTCTTAGTTCTAGATTCTCATTTGATTTTTTAAAAAATTTTTTTAGTTTCTAGTTCTATGCCACGATTCCCCTTCTGTTCTATCATTGTGACCATATTTTCTTTGCCAATGGCTGCTTTAGGGTTCTTGTCTGCTAATGCCAATACGGATCATCTTGGACACAGTTTATATTTGAGTACATTTTTTTGACAATGGATCACTTTAAAAAAAAATTCTTTGCCTGTCTTGTAATTTTTTATTGTATAAGTAGACATTATGGTACAGAGACCCTAGATTCTGTTATGTTCTAAAGAATGTATTTTATTTTTTCAGTAAGCCATTCGTCTGGTTAGATTCATACTCTATACTCTGTCCTTGCAGTTGGCAATGGCTAAAACATTTGCTGAGTTCTCTCACCCATTCAGCACCCACCTGTCATTCAGTGTGGAGTCTCCCTGATGAATGTGTAATATAAGGATCAGAGGTGCTGGTGGGCTCATTGTGGCATCCCAGGTTCATCCTCTGCCTTCTCAGCACAATATAAGGGGTGCTCTGTGCTTGAGCTCCTGCTGCCAGTACTGCCAGGACAGAGAATTGCCCTCGCTTGAAAAGCTACATCAGGGCAAATCTCTTATAATGCTGTTGACCCCTTTCTAATAGGAAGATATACTCCTCTCATTTCTACTACATTTGTTACTCTCCAGAGCCTTCAGATTGTTAGGTTTTATATTTTATATTTTTTTCAAAGACTCATAATTATTATCTGCAGGAGAGATAGTCTAATAAAAGTTATTTCACCATTATTAGTAGTGGAACCTTCTCTTGATGTACCTTGTAATTGTTGAATTACAACTGCTGTCTAACTTTAAAAAACACACACATCGATATGTTAAATATGGTCAATTCTCTAGATCCAAGTTTATCCATATACACAAACATGCACACACTCATACACACACACACACACACACCACCATCCATGCTTTCCCTCCTGCCACCACTGCCCCATGCTTTCCCTTCCGCTGCCGGTGCATTCTGCCGTTGGGTCGATTTGCATATTAGACTTTTATTATATAGGATTATTCCTCTTTGTGCAGATAACTGATCTTTAGAGGCAGAACATACCAAAGTCACATAACTAAGAACTTTGAGATCAGAACATCTATTACATTTTTTAAAATTTTACCTTTATTGTTGAAAGTATTACAGATGCTCCCATTCCAGCCCTTCCTCCCAATGGACTCTGTCTACCCCTCTACCACCCCCTCCACAGGCCTTCCCTGCTATTGTCTGTCTGTGGGTTATACATATCCTATATAATAAAAGGCTAATATTCAAATCAACTGAATTAAGATCTGGAAATAGCATAAATACCAACCACTGGATTAACATGGTATATTCTTCCACTTGTTTGTGTCTTCTTAAATCTCTCCTTTTACATACTGTAGTTTTCTATATAGGTTTTTACCTCATTGGTTAAGTTTATTCCTAAGTATATTAATTTTTTTTTTTTACAATGGTAAATGGGATTGTTTTTTAGTTTTTCTTTCTAAGAGATCATTATCAGTGTATAAAAATGCCATTGAGTTCTGGGTGTTAATTTTGTATCCTGCTACACTGCTGAATTCATTTATAAAATCTAGCAGTTTTTGGTGGGTCTTTAGGGTTTTCTATGTACAATATTATGTCATTTCAGAATATGTATGGCCTGCAGGCGAGGGCAGTTGAGGGCAACCAGGTCAGCAGGGGAGGGCAGTTGGAGGGGGACCAGGCCTGCAGAAGTGGGCAGTTGGAAGTGACCAGGCCTGCAGGGGAGGGCAGTTGGGGAGACCAGGCCTGCAGAGGTGGGTAATTGGAAGCAACCAGGCCTGCAGGGGACGGCAGTTGGGGTGACCAGGCAAGGAAGGGAGGGCAGTTAGGGGCAACCAGGCTAGCAGTGGAGGGCAGTTGGGGTGACTAGGTTGGCAGGGAAGTGGTTAGGGGGTGATCAGGCAGGCAGGCGAGCTGTTGGGAGCCAGTAGTCCTGGATTGTAAGAGGGATGTCCGACTGCCGGTTCAGGTGTAGGATGGGGCCTAAACTGGCAGTTGGACATCCCTCGAGGGGTCCCAAATTGGAGAGGGTGCAGGCTAGGCTGAGGGACACCAACTCCTCCCCCCCCTCCCCCAGTGCACAAATTTCATGCACTGGGCCTCTAATTTTAAATATAAGCTGAAAACTGACATAGTTTCTGCTTTTTTCTACATTGTTATAAGAATGGGGGGAGGGTGCTAATAAAAAATATATTTTAAACTAATTTTCCATATGCCTTCCCTAGCAACCTATTATTTGAAGTATTTAGAAAAGTTAAATGTGATACCATAGCTTTAACTATAAATGTTTTTATGATGACTAAAATATGCCTGTAAATATAAGGACAGTACTATTGTTCTCCAAATCTTACCTAATCTACTTATAAAGTCACCTACAGATTTTATACAGTAGAATAGTGTGTGTATGAATAAACAGTAGTCTCTAATTATTCTTGGAGAATTATGTGTATTCCTGATCACCTATTTCACCTATTTATAGGACCCATTGCAATGTTACTTAACTTCTTCAAAGCAGGAAATATCCAAAGTAAGTAAATAACATGCCAGTGCCCTCGCTGGGCAGTGAGCCATTCTCCCCCTTCAGTCGCTGCCTAGTGCAGGAGCCCCACAGGAAGGTGTGCATTGACCTTCTAGGCAGAGAGAATGGCAAAGTCACAGACCCTGAGACAAGACCACATTTATGAGTGTTCGAGAAACTCAAAGGAAGCCAATGGAGTGGGAGCTAAGTAAGCAAGTGAGGCTGATATAGGAAATAGGGTCAGGCTTTTGGTTCACTGACATTGATTATAATTCTAATAAGATATTTATTTAGCTCTTTGTAGTTTTCAAAGAACTTTCATATATAATTTGATGTGATTTCTATAGCAACCCATCACAGAAACCTCGAAGTTAAAAAAAAAAATGCTATCTAATACAATTGGCAAATGGAAGAGCTTAGTATTTATTTACTGGAACTTTTTATTATCCTGTACCTCAAAGATTAGTTAGTAATTTTAAGGCATTAAACCTCAAAAAAAAAACAAAAAAAAAACAACAGTAGTTCCCTTACAGAGTTCTGATTTTACAAAAATAGAATGTATTCTGTGCTGTGAATTGAAAGATGAGATTACTCTTCTATAGTTAACTTGAGTAGATTAAGAACATTCTCTCTTGGTGTAACTTAGATGTTTTTCATAAAAGTAGTTACATCTATTTTCTCATTTTCATGAGTCTAAAATATTATTTTTCATAACACAATACACGCTGGAAATGTGGCATTTTAGCTAACCCAAATCATGTCACTGTAAGGAAAATCTCACAAGAAGCACTTCTCTGGCTAAAAGAATTTTCTGCGCATTAACAGAGCTGCCCTGTGATTGTCTTTCAGCTGGAGATGGAAAAGCTTCAGCTGCAAGCCCTGGAGCAGGAGCACAAGAGCCTGGCCTCCCGCCTGGAGGAAGAGCGCGGCAAGAACAAGCACGTGGTCCTGATGCTGGTCAAGGAGTGCAAGCAGCTCTCGGGCAAAGTCATCGAGGAGGCCCAGAAGCTAGAAGAGGTCACGGCCCGGCTGGACGAGGAGAAGAAGAAGACCGGCGCGCTGGAAGAGGAGCTCTCCGCCGAGAAACGAAGAAGCACGGAAATGGAAGCCCAGATGGAGAAGCAGCTCTCCGAGTTTGACACGGAGCGGGAGCAGCTGCGTGCCAAGCTGCACCGAGAAGAAGCACACACCGCTGACCTCAAAGAGGAGATAGACAAGATGAAGAAGATGATTGAGCAGCTGAAAAGGGGAACTGACAGCAAACCGAGCCTCTCTCTCCCCCGGAAGGCGAAAGATAGGCATTGGGACTCTGTATCTGTGGGAACAGAGGGACCTGTGACACGCTCGGTTGCCTGCCAGACAGACCTGCCGATGGAAGGCGCTGACCACGCAAAGAAGTTGTCGCTGGCTGTGCCTGGAAAGCCTCCCACGGGGAGCCCCCGCGTTTCTGCCAACGCCAAAGGAAGTGTGTGCAGCAATGCCACCTCGGTCAGACCGGGTGTGGACAGGCAGGCTTCCCAAGGTGACTTGATGGGCTCCGCTCTGCCCACTGTCTCATCTCCGAGTGCAAACAGAATTGAGGAGAACGGACCCAGCACTGGTTCCACACCAGATGTAACAAGCAGCACACCCCCGCTTCCCAGTAACGCTGCCCCTCCCACCCCGCAGACACCAGGCTCCGCTCCCCAGAGCTGTTCGCAGGCTCCCAGTCTGCACTCCCCGTGTGCCAACGCGGCCCTGCACCCGAGCCTGAACCCGCGCGTCCAGGCAGCCAGATTTAGGTTCCAGGGCAATGCCAATGACCCGGACCAAAATGGCAATACTACCCAGAGCCCTCCGTCGAGAGATGTCTCTCCTACGAGTCGTGAAAACCTCGTGGCCAAGCAGCTGGCTCGGAACACTGTGACCCAGGCTCTGTCAAGGTTTACAGGCCCTCCGGCGGGAGCACCCCCCAGGCCCGGAGCGCCCCCGGGCGGGGATGTGGGCACCCATCCTCCTGTGGGTCGGACCGGCTTAAAGACCCCCGGGGCAGCCCGAGTGGACAGAGGAAACCCTCCTCCTATCCCTCCGAAAAAGCCAGGGCTCTCCCAGGCTCCTTCCCCACCCCACCCCCAACTCAAGGTTGTCATGGATGGCAGCAGGGCCTCCGGTGGTGCCGGGGCCAAAGCGGACACCAAAACTGTGGCTTCGCCTCCTTCCAGTTTGCCGCAAGGGAGCAGGGTCATACACGAGGAGGCTCTCCCGAAGTCCTCCTCTCCCCAGCTGCCACCCAAACCGTCCATAGATTTAACTGTGGCTCCGACAGCTCTGGCCACGTCTCAGGTGGGTGCCTGGCCTGCAGAACCCCCAGGACTGAGCCAGCCTGCATGTGCAGAGCATCCCCCTGTCATCCCCACCGCCACTGCCTTTTGCTCCCCCATCAACCCTGTTAGTGCCTCATCCCGTAGAACAGGGGCCCCAGACAGCCTCCTGGTACCAGCATCAGGTAAAGGGATTGGCATGTTACACCCTTTTTAAGAATGTGGCCTGCCCTCTTACTTGCCTCAATTTCTTTCACATTGCCATGGAACTTTTTTTTAATATGATATATATTTTTTAATATATATATATTTCTTTCCTCTTTTTTTTTTTTAAATGACTCCAGGGTATGGTGATTCATCTTGCAGTGTTGTTATGATAAGTGCTTTCTTTATTTCCTTTTTTCTTTCTCTCCTTTTTTTCTTAGTAACCTGAAAGTAGTGGTTTGGAGCAGAAGGATACCATACATTTAGAGAGATGAAAGCATTTCTGTGGGAAGAAAGACTGTCCCTTCTTATTAAGTTGGTCTCACAGACTTTAAGATCAGTGGGTCGTCACCAGGCAGGGTGCCGCTTCTGGGATGACATACACGCAGTCCCTTCAAGTAGTTATTAGCACTACTGTCCCACTTGGATTATCACATTGATTAGATTTTTCTGTGACTGGTAGGTTCTAAATTTTAACATAAGCTTGGATTTAACTGTTTTTGACCTCAAAAACTGAGTGTGTATGTGTTTCAGCCTCTGAATTAAGAGTAGTTTGTTTATAATGTCATTGACTCTTATTCAGAGCTATCTTCTGCCAGCATGTGAGCACATGTGGTCAGCATGTGACCTGTGCTAGGGAAGGTGTCCGCTGCAGACATGCGCTATGAAGTCACAGAAGATGGGACTCTTGAACAAAGAGGTCGATAAAGATCTGGATTTTTTTCCCTTTTGTTTTATAGTTCCAGAGGAAGCACTGTGTTTTTATGGACATGGAGTGGATTCGTTTTAAATGAGCATCTAAGATACTGTTATGCTTCACAGTTCAGTTGAAACTTCGGAGAAGTCTTGCCTATCTCAGGATCTTAATGGTTAGCTAATGAGAGGAAACTTCGAGAGCTAAGGAAGATTTGAGTGGCGTTTTATTTAAAATTCAGGGAGAAGAGTGGAAATAATCAAGGAATGAACAGTACATCACTATGCAATTACAAACTGTCTTTTTGAAATTAAGTTTCAGAATTATGTTCGGGGGCAAAATTGGAAGCAGCAGGGACTTAGATATTAGTCAGGTTTGTGTTGGAATCTGGGCTTTGCCATTTACAGTTGTATGTTTGGGGTGCGTTTTCTTGAACTGAGCAAGTTTTCTTAATGGAACTTATGCTGCTAATGTGGGAGGGTGGCTATTAGGAGGATTTAACATAACGTGTGAGGAGCACCTTACAGAGCTTAGTGCAGCATGAGTGATGAAAAAATAGAGATGCTGTTACTGCTTCCGTGATATCATTGCTAAAAGCATTTTTGAAAATTTTCTTGACTTAAGTATTACTTGGTGATGTCTTTATGGCATATATATTTAGATATATATTTTATCCAAAATGGTATTACAGAGCTGGGTAGGATGTTGGCTGTTTCTCACAAGTTAAACTCGCCCTCAGAGGAGGGATTCTTGCTGCCATTCAGGAGAATCATGCTGCATGATTGTAAGGTAGTCACAAAACAGAAGTTCTAAAAACATTCCGACAGTGGAGTGTTACTGACATAAACGCACAGACTGTGAGACAGAAAACACTTCCTAGGAGATATAAAGTTTGTCAGGTGGTTTTTGTTTTTGTTTTTTTAAATACAAAGCTATCTTTACTTTGTACCTTGATGCTTTCTTTGCCTATGGCTGTTTTTGTCATGGCTGTGTTTCCGAGTTCAGCTGCAAAAGGCCTTTGGTCTCAGTAGATAAGCTTTAAAGCCAGGATCCGTGGTGGAGGATTATAAATTAACCTCTAAAGACAGAATTCCTAGCCCATGATACAAGGTTTACACTTGTGAGTATGTAAAATAGGGTTTATTCTTGTATTATTTATTGATTATTGCATTTCCATGAAAATAACTTCAGAACTACTCTTCCCCAACCCTGTATATTCACCAGAATGACCTGCATAAGATACAATGGAATTTTAGATTAGATAAAGGATCCATCTAAAAAATGCCCTTGGCTTGTGTCTAGAGACTTAGAGAATAAATACTGGAACTAAAGAAATAGCAGCCACTGAAAATGCATGAAAATGGTTCCCTTAAATTCTGTTCTCTGATTCTGTAATTTGCCCAAAATATTTTCAGAACTGCAGTTTTACCTTTGGTGGGATCACAGGTTTCTATTTCCTTTGATTAGAAGATGTGGTTTATGAGTCGAAACGGAGGCTGTGGAGGTAGTCATTCAGCCAGTGTTTACTGATCCAGCAGTGTGTTCAGGGAATGGAAAAGTTAATGTTACGCAGTGGGGGTGCATAGCTGCCCCATGGGTGTGGCATTTTCCAATTAACATAGATGGCTCCTATTTTTGCCACCCTGCTCATTGCAACTGGGAAGCACCAGAGCGGCCTCCATCCTGCTTCTTAACCCATCAGTGCCTGGTGAGGCCCTGCCTCTGCAGAGCAGAAGCTCATCGGAGGGTGTGGATCTCCTAAGCAGCCACCAAGGCACTGTGGTTGGCGAGGGCAGGGCCTGGGACAGCATGGCAGATGTGGGCTCATTTCAGGGGTGACGGGACACTGAGTGTAAGAAGGCAGGGCTAGTCCCTTTCTGCGTATCGCCTTAAAGAGCACGCTTACTCGGAACCATTAGTTTTTCCATCTAAAAATGAAAGCATTGAACCAAAAAGTAATAGTAGTTCCAAAGAGATTTGTTAAACTTGCCTGTTAAACTTTCAACCAACAGTTCAGTACCACTCCCTTCGTGGAGAAGCACTCGATCCCACGATCTTTCAAATAAAAAATTCTGTGTTTCTGGGTTGGCTTATGTCCGTGAGAAAGAATTCTGATTAATAAAGCACCGAGGAGATTACAGTGACAAAAGATACCACTTCAATGAATATATTATAAATTACTCTAATCCTATCAGCAGTTTCTATGGTCAAATGCTAAATTTTTAAATAATATTTTTTAGCTATAAGGAAATTAGTTTTTCTTGTTCCTCATGAACTTTTCAGGTAAACACATTTAATTGTCAAATGAATAGAAGTCTATACCAGAAATCACCCCAGGCAGCTGAGTTTCCATACCCTTGGAAATATTTTTTTTTTAATTTTGATACATTTTATTTAATTTGGCTCAGTTTGTTTTTTTCTTATTTGAGCATACATTTTAAAAGTTATTCCCTGGCTACGAATGGCTTACAGGCTACATCAGAAAACTAGATTGATCTGAGCTATAGCATTAACCTTCTCCACACCCTGAAGCTGATGCCAGGAGCTGGTCTCCAGTCTTCCTTCTGCATGGCACCTGTTGTCTGCCCCTTGTCACGGCATGTCTGTCAGATGCTCACCTCACTGATGTGTGCACATGGCACTGCGGAGCTGAATGACCTCGTTACAGTAACTGTATGACCGCAGATCTGTTCTGTCATTGCTTCAGCATCACTTAAAAAGTCAAGTAACTGTTGTCATTTTTATCATTGTTGAGAATCTCAAATGAGGAATAAATGATCATGGTAAGGTTTTATTTTTTCTATGCTTATAGAAGGACTTATTACAATAACTTAAGTTTGTCTGTGCTAGAGAAAATTGGAAATGATAGTGCGGACAAAAGATTTATTTAAACTTTAACAATACTTGGTATTTATAGAGCATTTTTCTTTGTAAATCTTTTTAAATGTACTGCAAACCTCTAACAAAATAAGGAAATTAATGTATATTTTCCTGCAGATTTGTGTAACAGAGATAGAACTATAAGACTCTTCAGTAGTCTAAAAGTTGAAAACAATTTTGAATAAAATATTTTATCTTATGGATAGCTTTTTATTAAAAACAGAGTTTCCCAGGAAATTATATCCATAGTTGAATATTTCTATATAAAGAAGTTAAAATATAATTATATTAAAATTGTCCCCCAAGGCTAGAATTGTATGGAAAAAATGAAAACAAATCCCCAAAGTATAACAAATCATTTATTAGATACCTGTTGATATTCTTAAAGGGATACCAATAACCACCAAGAATCCTTGGATGAGTTAGAGGGAAATACAGAGAGGAAGGGAAAAGAGGAGGAGAGAAAGAGAGAGATAAGGGAGGGAGGGAAGGAGGAAGGGGGGGAGGGAGAGAGGGAGGGATAAAGGAAGGAAGGAAGGAAAGGAAGAAAGGGAGTGAGGGGAAGGGAGGAAGGGAGTGAGGGGAAGGGAGGAAGAAAAAGGGAGGAAAGGAGGGAAAGAGGGCTGGAGGGAGGGAGGAAGAGTGTGTGCCACATTCCCTCCTGTTCCATGGAGGCCACAGCACAGTGCTTTCCTATTGCGTTTGTGTTTGCTTTGCAGTCAAGGTTTCATACCTTGGTGTCTACAGTTTTTGTTTGTCATCCATTTCTGATAAGTACTGATTTAATTTTTGTGGGCTTGTTTTTTTTGGTTTGTTTTTAAGAAAATACACAAGGTAAAATGTACCAGAGAAGAGCCTTCTTGTAAGTATGAAGTAAAAATACTTTTGTAAGAAGAGAAAATGAGTATCAATAGGAAAATATCACAAAGTTTAGATAAATATTTAATTTCATGACCATATGAATTCTATATGTCACTGCAGTCTAATAGGGTAACAGCAATACATTATTTATGGAACCAAATAAATTCTGAAGATATAATGCTCAGCTTTTAATTAGCAGTTCTAGTTTCATTTGTATGAACTGCTTTGTTTATTACAAAGAATTTTTTTTAAATGTTGAGAAATTCTTTGATATGTAGTTTTAATATTTATTAAAATAATTGAATTAAGATTCACTTATAAGGACTGAATATTACATACATAATAATGTAATGCCCATATACCTAAAATGGTATCCTGATGCCAGTGTGTAAAGAATAGAAAAGCTTCATCTGTTGTATGTTACGACACGGGATGTTACCGGATTTCTGCAGGAACACTGCCCTGAGGAGTGTGCACATGTGCCTTTATATGCAACCACCATTGCTTAGAGGTATTTGAGGCTCCGTAAGGAAGAAGATAAAAATGATGTGTTTTAAAACTTAATTGCACTTAAGCCAAAAATACACGAAATACCTACATGTCACATTAAATAAACATTTTTACTTTACTGTTTTTACAGCTTTTTGATCAAGGAAGAATTCAGAAAATTTTCCATGCTATATGCAGCCGACTTCACACACTTAACAGATTCTCTTCTAAAGCTGCTAAATACTGATGAAAAATATCTAACTGTGATAACTTTTTGTTAAATCTTATATGTACAGTGTCCTGTCTTGTTGGCTGCTTAAAATTTTCTGGAACACATGCTATAAAGATGGCCAGATAATATAGCCTTCAAAATTATTTGTAGTGGTATACTTTAGATCCAATCATATATGTAATGCTTCTATTAGCTATTGATACCGAATAGTAGTTGATCCCCATTATTTTTATTAAATAAGGGAATTCAAGGAGTATAAGTAGATTCCTTGACAGTATTTGGTCCATCTCAGTGGTTTTTGTAAAATTAAATACCTTGGAAACATTATCAAGAAAGGAGAATTTATATTTCTTACAACTATTTCTATCTTACACCTGAAGATACCAGTTAACTTTTTTAGATTGATATTGAAAATGAAAAAATTTGAATGTAATTTTAAAAAGCAAGTTGTTTTGAAACCTTGAAGATGAATTTGAACTTTTAAAATGAGACAGCCATCCTAGTTTCCTAAAACCAATCCCCACTTTAACCCTTATCTGTGCAAGACTGATGTCTAAAAGTAATTTGTGACCATGCATGTTAACCTAATTAGCAGACATAAAATTGAAATGACAGTACAGATTTGTGCTAAGTATTATAAATATTAACAGACTGATCATGTTAGAAGCCACATAATCCTCCAGGAATACATGTTCCTGTGTGTGTGTGTGACCCAGGAAGGAGTGGGTAAGTCTGTCACTGGTCCTTGTTCCTGTACTCTAACCAGACTCACTCACTTCAACCCACAGGCTGGTCACCCTCCCTAACCCCTTTGCTAACGAGTGGTGGTCCTGCCCCCCTGGCTGGCAGGCCCACCCTTCTTCAGCAAGTTGCCGCCCAGGGAAATGCCACTTTATTACCAATGCTGCTTAATGAAGAAGGACTGGACACTAGTTACTCCTGTGAAGATGGCCATTCTGCCTTGTATTCTGCTGCTAAGAATGGACAAACAGGTAAAGATGGTGACACTGTCCCCTCACTGTACTGCCCACTTGCCACAGGCTAGAGCATCAGAGCCCTCGGAACCACTGTCAGGAGCAAAAAGGTTACTTTGATTTCTGTTTTCCCTTACATGTAGTGGATAGTTTTTGTTGTTTTTTAATATATTTAATATATTAAACCGGGTTTGGCAAATATATTTTATTGATATTTTACAGAGAGGAAGAGAGAGGGATAGAGAGTTAGAAACATCGATAAGAGAGAAACATCTATCAGCTGACTCCTGCACCCCCCCCACAGGGGATGTGCCCGCAACCAAGGTACATGCCCTTGACTGGAATCCAACCTGGGACCTTTCAGTCCACAGGCCAACGCTCTATCCACTGAGCCAAACCGGTTAGGGCTTGGATAGTTGTTTTTTTTTTAATATGATTTAAAGATTTTGTAAACATTTGTAAAAATTCATATTGTGCAGTTCTATGATATAAAATGTTGGGCAGCTAGCAAAAAAAAAAAAGTAATCTTTGTTTTATATACAACAGAATGTGTTGTGTAGATAGGAAATTTAGATCAGTTACTATTCAGCACATTTTAGAATAAAGCACTCCCATCTGTGATCATGTTGGTGAGGACAAAATAACCCTAATTTGTCTGTTAGAAATACTTGATGTGTGTGAAAATCAGAGAAGGAAGTGTTAGTAGTTGGGAAAGATCAAAGGTCAGAAATTGTTCTGAAGTTGAAATAATCTAATTATTTGGACTTTTTTTTTAAAAGCTAAGAAATTGTACAACCATAAATGACATATTGATGAAATGTAGGAATTTTGTTCCTTAACATGCAAATCCTATATGCAAATATACTAACACACAAGGAAGTGAAAGACAAGGTGATTTCACTGCACGTGCGAAGCAGACAGCATTGCTGTGGAAGCCGCATGGCTGTGGCGTCATTCAGATCTCGCAGCTTAGCTTTACTGTGCTCAGGTGGATGAAATGGAAGATTCTAGTGAGCTAATAAAGGAGCTCATTTTTTTTTTAAATGTCTTTATTGATTACAGTGTTACATATGTGTCTTTATTCCCCCATTATCTTCCCCTAACCCCCCCCCCTCGACCCCCTCCTCCCCCGCTCATATTACCCCCCCCCCCCCCCCCGGGTGTCCGTTGGTTAGGCTTATATGCATCCATACATGTCCTTTGGTTGATCTCTCCCCCTTACCCTCACCCTCCCCTACCTTCCCTTCAAGGTTTAATGGTCTGATCGATACTACTTTTAAAGTACTTTGGAATTCTTTTTTTACTTCAAAAGCACTATGGGAATTTTTTTAGTATAGAGAAATCTGGTAAATCACAAGAGGGACACGAGGTCCCTGTGCTATTTATTACTGAGTCAGGTGGCTGTGGTTTCACCTGTATCCTCATTCATGGAGTGAAGTGTAGGATGACTACTGCACGAAAGCATTTTAAAGATTAAAACATAAAGTAAGAATTTAACTAAATATAAAGAATGGAATTTCAATTTGGTAAATGGATTTTGTTCTCTAGCCAATAACATTCTCTGGAATAGTCTGGTAAGAAAATCTGGTAAAGTGTTTTCTGGCGCCCGCCAGACAGTTCTTTCACTCCTCAGCAACTCTTCCCAAAGCACCGGCAGGAAATGAAAGCCACATCTCGGTGAGCCCGGGGTGTGACAGTCTCAGGGAGAGAGGCTGCTGTCCCCAGAAGCAGTCTGTGGAGGGGAACTGTGCACGGGAAAGGTCCTTTGGATTTAATAAATGTTCACAGCTTTTATAGAATTTGGCTCGCCAGCGCTCTACATGGGGGATTGAAGTGGCTTTCTTTTAAAACCCATAGATTATGAGAGATTGCTGCTGAATGCAGAAGCCCAAGTCAATGCTGCTGATAGAAACGGCTTCACACCCTTGTGTACTGCAGCTGCTCAGGGACATTTCAAGTAAGAGATGCTCTTAATTTATTTTACTATGAAAAGAGTATTCATATTTTGCTTACATGTCTTAGTTCTGGCTGAAGGTGCAAACTAGTGCTTAAAAACGATTGGCAAATAAACTTACTAAGTATTTTTGAAGATTTAAACATAAAGTAGGATCCTAAGTTTGCTCTTCTTAATAATTGGTAAAGAGTTGGATAGGAGGGGAGTGAAGGAGAAATATATTGTGTCCAAACCTCACTTGATTCTGAAGAAGATAATCTTTTGATCACATGTCAACAATAAAACGAACTGCTAGACTTTGTTCTTCACTATTTCCCACCACCCCAACACAAAGAAGCTTTTTTACTTAAGATCACACTAAAAGTAAAACATAGGACAGTATTATTTGTAACAGTCTTAGCTTTCTAGTAGCAATTTATTCATTATTAAATCTCAATTATTTACCTGATCATTAAAAAAAAAAAAAGGCAGAAACTTTACATGTTGAAAGTAATGAGAGCACAAAATCAAAAGAGCCTATCAGTTAAGATGTACATAACTTCATCAGTGATTCCTTTATTAGCTTATAAAGGCAGTTGGACATAGTAATGATTTTAAAAATTGAGTCATGTTACTAAAATAGAATATAGCTAAGTTTTTTCTCTGTGCTGAAAGGTAGTGGATAATTACAAGCTCTTTTCAACTTTTTACATAACTATCCTGATAGAAATGTTCTTTAACAAATTTCAGAATTCTTGAAGTAAATGTTTTAAGGTTCACACTAATGTTAGCCATTATAAATGGAAACTTCAAAATGCATCCTTGTAGTATACAATTTTCATTTTTTCTGCATGTCATCACCCTGAGTTCTTATTGAGGACCATGGGTCTTGCTTGTATTTTTGCATGTCTCGAGTCCTCCAAGAGGGATTTCTTCTGGGCTGTACTTTCCCTTTACAATCACAGGTAATCTGTAGGGCCGCTCGCTTGGATGGTATAACAGTCATGGGAATAGTATAGAGGCATGGATAGCTTTACAAAAAGGAAGACTGCTGGGGTTGATTCATTTAAATGTGTATGAGATACACACATATTAGTATGTAAGTTATTTTTCAAATATGTATAAATAAACCAAACCTTTTCAAGGAAAGCCAAGATACATGGAACAGATGGCTATCAGGTGGGGGGGGGGGGGTGGAGATGAGAGAAGATGAAGGGATTAAGCAAAAACACCCACCGTAGATATAAAACAGACACAGACAACAGTATAGCGATGGCCAGAGAGAAAGGCGGGTGGAGAGGCGGAAGTGGGCTAATGGGGAAGGAACAACGAGGACAGAAAGAGACTTGACTTTGGGCGATGAGCACATGATGGTGTGTGCAGATGATGTTTTGTTGAGGTGTACACTTGAAACCTGTACTTGGTAAAATTTATTGTGGAAAGTATTACAGATCCAGTGTCACCCCAATAACTCAATTTTAAGTAAAAAAGAAAAGCTTGCATCTGAAGTAAAAACAAATTAAGATGATGTGAATTGCTTCCTAATCCTTCTATGATTTATTTAGTCATCTCTTCTAAGTTTATTTTCGTCTAATTTTATAAACTCAAGCTTTCAGTGGTTAGCTAGTTAGTAAGAGCCACTGTGTCTTGAATTTGCCTCATTTCTGTCCATCTTGATTTTCAGGGCAGCGAATTTCTGCTTAGCTGTGCCTTCCTCATTGCAAACTAGCACCCCTCCCGGAGACAGGAAGCCTCCCGTCCTTTCCCCCAGGCAACCGTTCTCCCTGCCACCCTGCTGCTTTTTATAGGGGAGGCGCCTGGTGCCCTGCTGTCTGCACTATTTTTACAATTATTTTCTCCAGTGAAAAATCCCAGAGTGACTCAGCAGCCTTACTTTTTGTCAAGGTTCAAACTATTTTGAACCACAAATAATATATATGTCAAGCACAGTTAAATCATTCATTCCAGTAAGTGAAACTATTCCAAGGACTCCGGTTTTACAAGTTGGTTACAGAGAAGTGTCATAACCCAGGCTTCAGCACTTGACCATGGTTGCTGTTCTAAATTTTCAGGGGATTGATTAAGTTTGTGATTAAAATATATCTTCTAGCCTTGTTTAAAAAAACAAACAAACAAACAAAAAACCACACACACACACACACACACAAAAAAACAAACAAAAAAAAACAAAACAGTACCCTATATAATGAAATCCACAATAACATGACATATATTTATGTATTATATACATATAGATGCAGAATGACTTTAGCATTATTATCTATATTCAGTATCTCAGTCAGGTGGCACTTCAGGTATCAAACCAAGTTCCTGTGTAATTAATCACAATCTTGTGTGTAGGTGTGTAGAATTACTAATTGCATCTGATGCTAACATTAATCATGCTGCTGATGGAGGACAGACCCCTCTATACCTGGCCTATGAAAATGGAAATAAAGAATGCATTAAACTCTTGTTGGAAGCTAGAACTGACTGACGTGTAAAAACCAGAGTGAGTACCAGTCTTGTTTTGTTTGTTTGTTTGTTTGTTTGTTTGTTTTGGAGGGTTATAATTTGTCTACAAATTCCACAGCTAGAAAAATACGTTAAAATGGAAGTTGCTTTGCTTTGTTTTGCTTTTAAGATACTGGATAAGGACAGGGTCTGTTCTCAGAGTCTCTGAAAGCCTTGTCTAACCAGACCTTTACCTCTGAACCTCTGTTTATTCATCTTTAAAACAGGAAAATAAATACCTAGATCCTGACTTTTTTCAAAATTAGGGGAGATAGATAATGAAGGTATAAGTTTTCATTTATTTAACAAACATTTCCTGAGTACCAGCTGTCCTAGGGACTAGACGCAGGGGGCCAGATCACGGTCCCTCAGAGTGCTGGAGGGCCGGACTATATGAACTACTAATTCCTACTGTAACACCTCGGCTGCGCTCACTGCCCAAAAAACATGGCGGGCCGGATTAGACTCCTCTGCGGGCCGCAGTTTGAAGACGCCTGGACTAGAGAGAGAGCAGCAGCCAAAACAGCCCCTACCCTCATCCATGTTAATTCCTATTTTGGGGGGCAGTAGAGAGGGGGGCGACAATAACAAATAAGTGACTGGATAGTAGTCGGATGTTTAGGAGACGGCGGTACCTGTGGTCATAAGAATTGGTCAGAAAAGTCATCAGTGAAAACGCGACAACTGAACCCAGACCTAACGGAAGCGAGGGCACAGTCCATGACAGGAGGAAAGCTGTGTGCCAGGAAGAGGAAGTGCAGAGCCCGCAGGAGCGAGAGGGGGCACCCCCAGTGCACCTCAGTGAGGCGTGGGCTGTGAGGAGGACTTAGGGTGAGACAGGATGGTTTTGAACAGAATATGGATATGGATTTTTTTTTTTTTTTTAATTCTTGTCCGAGGATATGTTTACATTGGTTTTTAGTGAGAAGAGGAGAGAGAGTGAGAGAAACATTGATGAGAGAAAAACATTGATCAGCTGCCTTCCATATGCATCCTGACCAAGAATTGAACCAACAACCCTTTGGTGTAGGGGATGACTCTCAACACAACTGAATCACCTGGTCATGGCATGAGTTCACTCATTTTTATAAGAATCACTCTGGCTGAAACCAGTTTGGCTCAGTGGATAGAGTGTCAGCCTGCTGACTGAAGGGTCCCAGGTTCGATTCCTGTCAAGGGCATGTACCTTGGTTGCGGGCACATCCCCAGTTGGGGGTGTGCAGGAGGCAGCTGATTGATGTTTCTCTCTCGTCAATGTTTCTAAGTCTTCTATCTCTCTCCCTTCCTCTCTTTAAATAAAACATTTTTTTTTTTTTTTTTTTTAAAGAGAGAGAGAGAATCACTCTGGCTGCAGTGATAAGAAATTATAAGGGGAAGGGGCAGAGCAGATGCATAGAGGCCTGTCAGAATTCTGTTGTTTTAATCCAGGAAAGTAGTAATGGTTTGGATCAAGGTTGAGGGGTGGAGTGAGGAATGTTCCAATTTTGGATGTATTTTCAAGGTGCATTGTATATTTTGTAAAATTCTGTAGAAGTATAAACGGTGGCGACGGTGGCCATGACCGTAATAGAAAGAAAAAGTGGTGCATGATGGCTGAGAGGTCAGGCTCCAAAGTAAGACCCTGTGGCTTGAACCTTGCCTACATGGGGCACTGTGACCTCAGGCAGATTATCTTACTTCCCTGCTCCTTGCTTGATCCCTCTACAAAATAAGGCAAACAATGGCAGCCCTGAGTAGGGCTCTTAAAATGAAATAAGCCTGTCTATATCAGATGGTTGAGGAGTTGTAATGCGTAAATGAAAGGGAGTTTGTGATGAGATTTGCCGGTTATTTGTGTTGACATTTCTCCTAGGACTGAGGTTTGTTATTGCTAAGATGTTAGACACAAATCCTGTCTAATTTACTTCAGAACTGGAAGCACTCTGGAAATCCACTGTGGAGCCCAGCAGGCTGATGTAACGATTGACTTCACCTGGCTCAGTTCTGCTGGCCCTTACAAGCTGCACAGGTGAAGGGAGACCTAAACGGCTCAGCCACATGGATATGCATTTGAAATAAAACTTCCCAGTGAGCCCTCTGAAATTTATCTTCATCAAGCTATTGTGATACACGTGAAGACAGAGAACTCAGCTCTGTGTCCACTGACATGAGTTTCTCTGACCAGGGCTCGGCTAAGGGCTGGGAGAGTGAAGGAGCTTCCATCATGATCTTCTCCTCATTGGGCTCAGCTAGGCAGGACTTTATTTTTGTTAGAGTTGTAGTAATCACCACCCTCCAACAGAGTCCTGATGAAAGGCAAGTGTAGACATGGTAGTTTCTGTGCCATAGAGCTCTCCTCTCAATAGAGAATTGACTAAACTGGGCAACCATTTCATAGGAAACATCCTTAAATTTTTCTAGGATACTAAGGTGCAGTACCTGTTTTATAGGTCACTCTTAGATCCTGGGCTTTCTTAAGTAATTTCCAAAGAACCAACAATTAATGGTTATACCAGGGATATAAGTTAGGTATAAACATTTTCTATTGAATCCTATTGCTAGAGTTAAAAAAAAAAAAATCTGTTTTTTGAAAACCTGAGAAGATAGTCCAGTGTTACATTTATTCATGTTATTTTATATATTTTATCTAAGAAATATAATTTATCTAAGAAATCTGTGGTGTTATACACATGGATTTCATTATGAAATGATGAAATCCTGCCTTACATGTGAAAAATAAATTTTACAACACAAAGCTGAAGGAAAATAAGTAGTGCCACATAAAAATTTATCACATCCTGTAAATTGGAGAATCCAGAACTACATGCTCTCAAGCAAGATTTTGACTAGCTGAACAAAATTGTTGGAAGTACAGAGGTAAACAGAATAATTGATAGAGGATTTTAAGGCAGTATTTCTTGTGACTTTTAACAAGAAATCAGAGGAGAATGGAAGATGGAAAGTTTTCCAGGACCAGCTGTGTGACCTGTGTAATGTAAATTAGGGATGGGTAAGAGCACTTACACTCTGGTGCCTGCATGAGGCTGATACCCAAGTAAAGGCGTCCTCAGCCCAGCACAGAGCAAGCCAAGCCTTACAATGCTTTACCTCACCGGAGCCCTCAGGGCCACAGAGAAAATGGGCCTCGGTACTTGAGTTCTGGCTAGGAAAAGAATTCAGAGACAGGACTCAAACTCGAGAGTGAAAATTTCTTAAACAAGCAAAGAAAAGGTACACTCACAAAGAAATTTTGAGTGAGCTTCTCAAAGAGCTCTAGGACAGCGTTTTTCAACCGCTGTTCCGTGGCACACTAGTGTGCCGCGAGATGTTGCCTGGTGTGCCGTAGGTGCAGACAAGACAAGAATTTTATAATTTTTCACTATTTTGTTTACTTAATATTTCATAATAAAGTAATTATAAAATACTTTCTTTGTGTTTATTTGATTCCTATTCAAGAGAATTACTTTATATATAGTCAATATAGGCACAGAGTTAAATTTTTTTAACATTTTCTAATGATGGTGTGCCTCGTGATTTTTTTCATGAAACAAGTGTGCCTTTGCCCAAAAAAGGTTGAAAAACACTGCTCTAGGGTGTGGGCCAGGGCTCCTTTTAACCCCTGGCAGCTGGGGGCATGGGAGTGTGAGGTTCATGCTTTCTTCTTAAAGCTGACCTATCGTGGCCTGTCGGGTCATCTGCTGTCCTGGTATGAAAGTTGGATGGGGCTTTCCTTCAGCCCCCTCATTGTTCGCTAAGGGTAAGGTTCTGGCACAGGACTTAGCCACATGCCAGGGGCAGGAAGGTCAGGGGAGAATCTGACCTGCATGCCAGGAGACATTCTAGAGGAAGAGAGGATGCCTTAGGGGTGAGGTCCCCATTAACAATATTTATCTCCAATACTTGCTGTACCGGTTTCTCCCAGTGTTAGCTGTCCAGGACGTTCTGCCCTGGTCACCATCTATAACCGGGCCTTCATCCTTGCTCTACCTACCCCAGGAGGACTAGATGCTATTTCAGTTGCCGCCCAGCCGTGGTCTTGTTTCAGCCAAGTTGACTTCATTGGTATGCTGTGCAGAACCGGACAAAAAGCCACATTATCGGGGGACAGCATTAACAAAGGATCAGACTGTTACTATTTATGGTCTAATTTTCTTCCTTTTTTATTTTTTTACTTGAGGCCCAGTGCACAAAATTCATGCACAGGAGAGGGGGTCTGTCAGCCCAGGCTGCACCCTCTCCAATCTGGGATCCCTATCACAATACAGGATTGCTGGCTCCCAATTGCTTGCCTGTCTGCCTTCCTGATTGCCCCTGATAGCGTTTGCCTGCCAGCCAGATCACCCCCTAACAATTTTCCTGCCAGCCTGATAGATGCCTAACTGCTCCCCTGCCAGCCTCATCAGTGATATTCAGGATTGGAATGCCTGCTTTTCCCAGCTCATAGGTCCAAGCCCAGAAACATTTAGAGGTGAACTTCAAGTAATGCTGTTCTCAATATTAGTGTTGTAATTAACTATTTCCCTTGGTCATCTTATTTTCAGGATGGCTGGACACCAGTTCAGGCAGCTGTGGACACTGGTCATGTGGACAGCCTCAAGCTTCTTACGTACCATAGAGCACCAGCTTATGGAAAATCCTTGCATGAGGAGGAGACCAAGTCAGATGTGTTGGACTTGGATGGAGAAGAGAGTCCTAAAGGCACAGCCAAGCCTGTTGTTTCTGCAGACTTCATTAACCGTGCCGACAGAGAAGGCTGCACTGCTGCCCCTATTGCTGCTTCAAAGGGTTTTAAGGTGTGTCAGGTAGCAGCTGGCCTCATCACACAGCTGTGTTTGATGAGTGGCAGTGTTGTCTGTTGTTGACTTGTGTGTATGTCAGTGGATAATAGAAGACTAAGTGACACCATTACAGGAGATGATTAATTACCTATATGAAAACAAGAAATGTGAAAGTAATTTTAGATATTTTATCTCATCTAAAATTAGAAAAAATGGTTGATATTGATTTAGTCTGCTGGGTTGTTGAATTCAGTACCAAGGCTATGATACTAAATTAGAGGGAAGGCCAAGTCTCAAATACATGCCCTCTAACAAGAACAGCCCCATTACACCCTATATGAGCTGGCCTACTCATAGAGGAAGCTCTGGATTCTGATTATTAAGAAAATAACATAATATGGTGAACCATCTATTTATGATTCTTTTTTTGTAGTTAAGCCAGTTTGGAAAGAACTGCAATATGCTCTAGCAATAATAAGTTAATTAGAAAACTTCTGAGTGCAGAGCACTGTGTGTGCTATCATTTGTAGGGATCATTTATGCCATTAGGAAACTCTTAGTCCAGTGGTAAAGGTGTGGGGTACAAAAAAACTGTAGGATAAGAGAAGTACAAAAAATTAAACCAAGGTAATACAATGTCAACTATAATTGAAAAAAATTTTTCTCAAAATGTAGGGTAATAAGTGTAATTAGAAGAGTATAATAATAGACATTTTTATTTTTGTGGAAAAAATGGAGAGAATAGATATATTTCGGAGAGCAGAGTTGCATGGATGTTGGGTTCTTAAATGACTCATTCTAGAGGAGATGGAAACCATTTGGAGCTTCGCAGAGTAAGTTAGATTTGCCATCATCACTGGGAAAAGAGTAGTTCAGATGGAGGGAGTAATAGGAACAGAGAGTGGGAAGGGCAGGTGGTAACAGCTCCAGTTGAGCTACTGAAGAGAAGTGAGAAGAAATAAGACTGGAGTGGGAATATCATGTGATGTCATGGACCTTCAGTGACATATTAAGAAGTTTGGGCTTTATTTCCTAATCAGAGTAAAGCCACTGAAAGGAGCACAAAAATTAACTAGGTTAAAGATGATGAGGGTGGTAGAAATAGGAAGAGAAATTGCAGACTAGAAATGCCCTAAGGAATGAAGACAGATTAGACATGGGAAATGAGGGTGCTGAATAGAAGGATAACAGTGATGTTCCCGGAAAGAGAAGAGAGGCGTCGTTGTGATCAGGAGGACAGAATGTGAGTGCAGACATGCTGAATGTAAATGCTGTGTTGTGTCCATCCAGAAGGAGACCTCAGGAATAGCTGAAAATGTGTACTTGGAGCTGCTTGTTGCGTAACTTCTGTTATTGGGAATTGCATTGGGTGCCAGAAAGAAGCATGAAAGCGGTAGCTTGCAACCTGTCTTCACCCCTAAAAGAAAATCGTTGAGTATAAAACAATACGTTACCGATAACAATACGTACCTGTGCTCAACCTAAAGGCAAAAAGCCAACACAAAGGAGTGAAGCAGAACCCGAGCATGGCTGATCTGGAATATTCAGCTAATGAGCCTCGTGCTGGGCAGAGAGAGGAACCTGCTCCCCAGCTTGTGTCACGCTGCAGGGTAGGGCGCAGTGTTATAGTTCAGCTCCTTAATTAGGACTCCCTGGCAGGCCTGGTGCTTTTGACAACCAAGGATGGCATATGGCTACCCAGGCCCCTGGCAGGTGTGGGTGCTCTGTCATTGTGGGATAAAGGGAACTGCAACCCTTCCCTCACTTAGAAGATGTCTCACCCTGAATTCTCTTACTTTAAGAAGCATAAGATGAATTTTGAATAAGAAAAGGAAGATTTTTAAAAAATGAGATTGACTGACAATATTCACACACCTCTAAGTCAAATAATAGATTACATTAATGGATTTATTTTAGCCCTGGAGTAGAGGCGTAATCTTGCAGTCTAACTTCATTTTATGATTTTTATGATCATAAGTACATTTAAACCCTGGAGATATTAATAGGTAGAAGTTGGGAAGGAAGCCCAGATTGCCTGATTTAATTACTCTTCACACTGTACCATGCTGCCTTCCTTCCTAGTGAAAGGCATTAGAAAACATTCTTGAATCATTTGCCTAATACAAAGTTTATGTTCTGTCTGAGGTAGCTCTCCATAGAGGTAATCCATTTTACAACTAAGTTATGAAGACCAGTTTTCTGTGGAGAGGAAAAAAGAAAGTCTGAAGTAATCATGTGAGTAACAAGGTTCTGTACTGACCACAAGCTGAGGCCCAAAAAGACATATGTGTTTCCTCTCTATGGTAGTGCATGTGTCCAGACTACATAAGGTAGTTCTGTCACCCAAGAAGATGACCTCAGTTTCCACTGTTTTTCAATAAAGCATCGTGGGATTTCAGAGTTCAAAGATACCTAGCTCATCCAGTCCAATCACCTCGTCTTACAGATGAAAAAATTCAGTCTTGGAAAATAGCATAACTCATTCTCCAAGGTCAATTCATAGAAGATCAGATTCCCAAATCAGTACTTTTCTCATTTCTGTCCTTGGTCTTTAAATCGCTATTTAGTGTTTGGTAATAGGAGTTCCCCACACTAAAGCAGGCCAGTGACAGTGATGACTCCAGAGTGAACGAATCAGAGGGTGAACCTTTATTTTCATCACTCAGTGTGAGCAGGCAGAAGAGTTTCTTAGCGAAACTGCTGTGTGTGTGTGTGTGTGTGTGTGTGTGTGTGTGTGTGTGTGTGTGTATAGAGAGAGAGATGAGAGAGAATCATTGATTGGCTGCCTCCTGCACACCTCTCATAGGGATCAAGCCTGCAAACTTGGGCATGTGTCCTGACCAGGAAATTGAACCATGACCTCCTGGTTCATAGGATCACCAGCCAGGTGATTGTTTATTTGTGGGACTGTGTGTCTTTTTTACTGCAGGAGTGAATTGTATAATTTCTGTATTGCCAAAGCAGTGGCTTCTTACCACTCATGCTCTTACATGGTCTCTGGGTTAACTGTATAATGCCAACTCCTCCCTCAAAACTCTTTCATTCTTTGTTTCCACTCTGACTTTGATAACAAGGCCTTTTCTTTGTTTTTCGAGATGTTTCTCTTTTGTTTCACCACAAGCAGTTTCCAAGCTCCATTCACGGGTGGCTAGTCCTGCTTTTTAAGAACTCACCCAGTCTTTCCGCTTTAACTGGGCTTCTGCTATAACTAGCCCCAAATCTGAATCTCCACACCTGGCTTTGTAACTGTCTTCTGGACATTTGTTTCCAGCATCCTGGAAGTCATGTCTGGGCAGGCCAGTATGCTCGGGGCAGGTGGTGACCCTCATGCTGCCCTCTCCAGGCCATTCTTGCATTGTGTTAGGATTGTGGTCTGCCTGATGCACTGTTTGCTTGTAAACAGGTGAGTGTCAGGCATTTCCTATCTCGCTGTGGCATCCACCCAGCTGAGTGGTGTGGAAGAAGTGTGTGTCTCAAGTGCACAGGCCAACATGCGGCCTCAAGATTTAGATTCCCTCTTCATAGGAAATGGCTGAACCGAGAAAATGAGGATTAGGAGTCACTAGATCTCTTCCTTGTCACAGAGAGTGGGGGAACTGGCTGAGAGGTGAAAGATGGGATACCTATGCAGTTGAACCATGATAAATAGAATCTCTTCTTTGGAATCTGTTTTTTTGTGCTTTTGATTCTCCATGATTATTCCCTTAATTTTTATAAAAATTATTTTTGAAAGATCAGACTCACTTAGCTCTCTGTAAGCAAAGGGAAGGCTATTTTTTTTTTTTTTAACACATTCTACTATGTTCAGTGCAGAGAATGGTATTCTTGCTTAATTTGAGCAGGAGTGATTAACTGACAGAACCCTAACGGATTCTAACATACTAAACTTAGTCAACTAATTTATTCTGACATAAACCTCTAACAAACACACTCCACCCTTCACCTGGGCTGTGGACTTCCCAGTGCTTACCCTAATGCCTCCCATTGACCTGGACTTTGACCCTGTTCCCCTCACTCTGTACTTTCTCCCTTGAATGATCTTATTGATCCCCAAGATACAATCTATTAGAAATCCCAAAATTGTCCCTCTGTTCCAACTTACTGATCCCTGAATCCATCCAGGAAAGTTCTACACACAATGGCCAATATACAGGGCATTTCCTTAATAACTAGAGGAACAGACTTCCCAGTATGGCCACTATAGTCCTTCATTATGCCTGTCATCCCCATGTTATTAGTAACTCTTATTAATAACTTTTTACTCTTAAAAGTGTCCCAGTTTTAGAAAATTATAGGGTAACCTTGTTGATGACCAAATTCATTTTTGCTTCCACCAAAGTGGTCCAAGCGGGTGGATCCTTGGGCTCCCGCGTTCATGCTCCTTAGCCAGTCTGCTGCATCTCTAGTTCTTCCTCTGAATCTAAAAACATCGCCTGCCATTATATTTCCTTCCTCTGTCTTCCTAATTTAATTATTTCAATTGATCAATAGAACTCTAGGTTTGTTGTTATTGTTGTTGTTTTTTAAATATACTTTATTTTTTTTTTTTTTTTTTTTTTTGCAGAGAGGAAGGGAGAGGGATAGAGAGCTAGAAACATCAATGAGAGAGAATCATCGATCAGCTGCCTCTTGCACACCCTCTATTGGGGATGTGCCTGCAACCAAGGTACATGCCCTTGACCAGAATCGAACCCAGGCCTTTTGGTCCATAGGCCGACGTTCTATCCACTGAGCCAAACTGGTTCGGCAGAACTTTAGGTTCTTTGATAAATGAATTTTGAATATGTTGCCTCCTCCTTGCCCCAGGAGCACTGTCCTTGCAGCGCCCTCATTACCTGCTGTCTGGACGTGGGCAGCGCCTAGCGGGGTCTCTTCAGCCAGTCACTTCCACTCTTTAGCCTGCCATGCCAGGGGCCTTTCTAACAGGGCACATGGTCATGTCTTTTACGTGCTTAACGTCTGTACAAGGCTCTGTCACTCCCAGGGTAAACGTCGCACCTTTATCGTGACAGACCGCTTCCTTCCTGGCCAGCCTCAGACTACCTCCTCAGCACACTTCCTGTCTCCTTCCCGGATGCATTCTGTGATCTAACCACGCGCTGCCGGCTGCTGTGCAGACATCTGTGCTTTCTCCTCTCCCGGCCTTCGCATCTGCTGTTCCCATTACCTCAGGTGGCCTCCTCTCCTGCCTGACCCGTCCCCGCCTGGAAAATATCTCAGCTGAAGTCTTGGCTTCCAGGAGTGAGATATTCCCAGAGCACCTCTTAACACTTCACTTAGAGAGCTTGAGCTTCAAGACTAATTGTTTGCATGCCTCTCTCCCTTTCTGCCTCCTTCCCCAAATCACTTTTCCGTCTTCATATATGCTGTGCCCAGCAGACTTTCTGGCTCCAAAGTACCAGTTGTTTGCCAGCCAGTATGGCTCAGTGGACTGAGTGTCATCCCATGCACCAAGAGGTTGCTGGTTCGGTTCTTGGGCTGTGGTCAGGGCACATGCCCGGGTTGTGGGCTCGATCCCTACCGTGTTTCCCCGAAAATAAGACATCCTCCGAAAATAAGACTTAGCACATGGAAAGATAAGACATCCCCTGAAAATAAGACCTAGCGCAACTTTGGGAGAAAAAAATTATTATAAGATACTGTCTTATTTTCGGGGAAATAGTAGTGGGTGTGCAGGAGGCAGCTGATCGATAGTTTTATCTCTCCATTTCCTTTCCCCTCTCTCTAAAATCAATAAATAACATATTTTTTAAAAAGTACTAAGTGTACTTTTTAACAGGCCTCCTTCTTGTCACCCTATTCCTTTCCAATATATCTTCCAAATGCACCAGCTGGTTTTCAGAGCTGAGCCGACCATGGCACTTGGCTGCCTGGACATCCATACCCTCATGCCTACAGAGAAGCATCCAAACTCTTCAGCATGCAGTCCTCAACAGCTGACTCCCGCCATCTACATTTCTGACCACTCCCCCCAAAATCTACTTTTTTGCTTATGCCATCACTTCCCATTTCTACAGCCTTCAGCTTCCCTGCCTTGCAAACCTGGGTACACTCACACCCAGGGTTGTTCCCAGAACCTGCACTGGACCTTACTTCCCGGACATCTGCAAACTGCTTTCACGTTTGCTCCCTCTGTCCGATCTCAGACTCGCAGCTCTCTGCCTTGACTCTGACTTTATCTCTAGTTCTTTGGACTAAGGGGTTTCTACTTAGTCCCCTTGGCTCCTACCCTTATTTCTCAGCTTTCCTTAAAGGACTGCAGGAGAGTTCATTCATTGGCCCTCACCATCTCTTCCACGTTTCCTCTGCAGCAACGGATCCTGCAGTTTTCAGAGGGGCCCCTGACCACCTAACATGAACACTTGCCTTCTGCAGCCTCCACTGAGGTGACGGTGGCCCCCTACCTAAGTTGGGGTAAATGGGATGTGAGCAGCATTAAAAGCTGAAGCCTGTGCTGCTGCTTTCGAAAGCCCCTGTTACTGCAGATGCGTCTGTATGGCCACTAGGACTTTGGCTTGAACTCATCTAGATCTCTTGCCCTTCTATAGAACGTCCTGCCCCTTTTAGGCCCCGGGGAATCTGTTTCCAGAAGCGGGGACTGGGATCACAGCATGGATCCTCTTCACACAGTGCCACCTGTCAAGAAAGACGTTAGATTCTTTTCTTCACCTTCCCTCCACATAGTAAGAATGTGTCCATCATTGCAACAGCCCCCTTCCCTGTGGACAATCTCCCCATGTCTAACCTCGCTATGTTTTGTGTTCCTCCCTAAGGAGGACTGTTCTCTTATTCATTGCCACAGTCCTTGGCTCTAACATAGCACCTGGCACAGGCTTAGTACCTCTTCCACCAAGTTGTGTGGATTGATGAGCACTAAGTGCTTATAAAATAGCTGTAGCTGTTGTGTTCCCCACTGAGCCCCACGGATTGCTGTAGAATTCACACCTGTAGCAGTGTTTGGATATGTGGTTCCCTGTTACCTTTCTGACATTGGTTACTTCATTCAAGAGAAAGTCACTGCTTGTATGTGTTGCCCGCTGATTTAACTGAGTCATAATACAAATTATATATAACATTCTTTATGGATCAGAAATAAAAGTCTTGCAGATTTGGGTTACACCTTTTATCATTTCTGTTTGTAATTTAAAGTAACATCACCCAGGATTATATTGATAGTAGAGACATTTGTTGGTGTGATGAATATTCAGGCTCTTTTCTAATTGGTGATGTTATGTTGATTCTAATAACAGCAGCTATTAAATATCGAGAGTTTAGTAAGTGCTGAGAATATAAGAGCTTTTTATGCATCTTTCCTGTAAGTCACATAACAACTCCATGAAATATAAATATTTGAAACATAGATAAAGCAACTGAAGCAATTTTTATTAATTGGTTTGCCAAGAATATAGATGAAATAATTTATATTGTCAGGGTTATAATCCAAGTCTGTATTGTCTTTTACCTGCTTTTTGCTGCAGGAGCTAACTTACATAAAAAATGTATTGTTTTCTCTTTTATAATCTGGGAATTCACAAAGTTTAGTGCTCAGACTGCATTCTACTTAATCCTCATTTTAGAGCTAATCTCTAAATCAGTATTTCTGAATTTCTTACTATTTTATGCATTCACAGATTTTGTGAAAATTAATAAAGTTTTATTAGAATTGTTGTTTATATATTGACTTTGTTTTCACATAATTTCTTTCTTTAAAAAAAAAATTTTATTGATCTTTTACAGAGAGAAAAGGAGAGAGATAGAGAGCTAGAAACATCAATGAGAGAGAAACACCAATCAGCTGCCTCCTGCACACCCCCCACTGGGGATGTGCCCGCATCCAAGGCACATGGCCCCGACTAGAATCGAACCCGGGGTCCTTTAGTCTGCGGGCCGACGCTATATCCACTGAGCCAAACCAGTTTAGGCTCCACATAGTTTTTTGACTTAGTGACTTGTTAAATCTGAACCCCAGTCCCACAAAGCCAGACTTGGATTACAGTCATAGAGGAAACCCCGCCCACCTGGGAGGGACGGTGAGCATCAGGTGTCCTGGCTGATTCCCTTTGCAGGCAAGTGATTGTCTCTACCCAGGGGTCCTCTGGTTCAGCTTCTCCATTTTGTGGGTCCCAAGGCCTAGTCTCCCATCCCTATAGAGTTCACAAGCAGTCTCTATATCAACTTAGCTCTTGAACCAACACTGGCTTCCTGTTCAAATTTCACTTAATTGGTGGTTTCAGCTTACTCCTTGGTTTTCTTTCTAGCCCTTAGGGATTTCCTGTACTTCCTTGTGAATTCTGGTTGCATTTCAAGTATGTTTTGGGGGCAATATGAGGCAGTTGGAGCATACATGTTCTCCTGGGGGGAGTGGAAATTGCTATAGCCACTTCCGAAAGTGCTTTGCAGTATATACTAACATAGAACATATGCATACCTTGTGACCCAGCAGTCCGACTCTGGTTCATGTACTCAACAGGAATGTGGGCACGTGTCTACCAAAGGACTTGTGCTAGAATGTTCATAGTAGGACCCAAATGTCCCTTAGTAAGAGATTAGGTAAATAAATTGTGGTATATTGACATTAGAGAATGCCACATGGTAATTTTAAAAAGTGCAAAACAAAAAGAGGAACAATGATCACTCCCAACACATGGATAAATCTTATAGACGTTATTGTTGACCGAGACAAGCCAAATATAAGTGTGCCTGCAGTATGATTCCACTTATATAAAGTTCATTAACAGACTAACGAATCTTTAATACTAGAAATAGAATAGAATAGTAGAAACCTAGGGGGGGTATGGGGTGGCGAGGGTTGGTGGGGGGGGGAGAAAAGGGAGGGAGCTAGAGATTGAGATGGATGCTTACAAAGTGCTCCTTACACAAGTATTGTACTTTGTGATCATTCTTCAAGCTGCATACTTATATACTTCCTATGTGAATACTATATGCTTCAGTAAAATATTCACATAAAGAGAAAAAAAGTGTGTTTTACCAAACAGAAAGTGTAAGAGTGTGTGTGTGTGTGTGTGTGTGTGTGTGTGTGTTTAGGGAGGGGATGAGAAGGATATTGCTTGATTTGCTTGTTAGTTCTTTGCCATAGATTCTGGTCTGTTCAGTTTTGTGCTTATTCTTGTGGGAAATCAGGAAATAAAACATAACGTGGTAAAAGTTGAGCTAGCAGAGTTCCTTGGTAAATATCTGAAGGTAACATCCTCCCGGGCAGTTATTTATTAGAAAATGTTTGCATTTATTTCTACTTTGGTTTGGAAAATAAGACTTGCCGGTTTGTAGGTTATTGATACTTTTTGAGTGAAGATTTTCGTAAGCAGCACAAAAGAAGAAAAGCTGAAAAAGAGACGGACCATCACTTCAATATCTACTGGGAATGTCTTTCTCAAAATTCAACCAACATGGTCTTTATATATTTAAAAATAAAAAAGCAAAACAAATAAAAATCTCAAAGAAGTGCTTACGAGGACTCTGGGACAGAATGGTTAAAGTTGGAGTCTACACTCACATGATCAGGAAAGCAGTTCATAGCCCAGTATTCAGCAAGCAGCATCCAGTTGTAGCAAAAGCCCTTTTGCTTTATGTTGTGAAAATAACACTGAGGGATACTTTCTGCCGAAGCCCATTTCTTTCCTAATTTCACTCTGCAAAGTGGGTGATTAGTAAACTGATTTTTTTCTCTTGAAACCTAAGAGGCTGCTCTGTGGAGCATTGTTTTGATCCTGTGATTCGCAGTTCAGTGAAGCATTCTTTGCTTTTCATTTTGGGACGTTGTTTAGTTTGGGTCACTGGAGAATTCCTGATGTGTTTGCTGTGGGCAAATGACTTTTCCCATGAGGTTTCAGCGCAAGTTTCTTAATTTGGACGGAAGGTAATAGAGCTCTTTTCTCTACAGAATGGCCTAGAAATTCTGTGTAGGCATGGCGGGCTTGAGCCAGAAAGGAGAGATAAGTGTGGTTGGGCTGCACATGATGTGGCCACTGATGACTGCAGGCATCTGCTGGAGAATCTGAGTGAGGGCCTTCACAGCCCCCTGTTCATCCCGCATCCACAAAGCAGGGCCTCTGGGGCCGTGGGAAAAATACTAGAGAACTCAGTTTCTCACTCTCTGCTTGGTTTTCTTTGAACCCGAGCTGTTACAAAAACACTTTATTGATTACAACTGTGGTAATTATTTTTCCATGTAGAATGGCTTTTTACAGAATGCGTTGCTATTCAAATAATGGAAGATCTTCCTTGTATTTCACTTACCTAGGAAAGCATTCTAAGTCATTCTTCTGACTTAGGGTATTACTCATTTCTTCTGACTTATATTGTCTTTGTAGACATGAGTGTAACAGGGTGTGAGAAATCATGGCTGGATACTTTGCCATTAACTGGTTGTATGAACCCAACCAGGCAAGTCGGTTGTCTCTCCACATCTGTTTGCCTACCTGTCTATGAAGATAACTCATGATCTTTTGGGTTCCTTCCAACTTGAAGAATATGTGCTCTCTGCGTGTTTTATGAAAGGTTCATTTGTGGGTTCCTACATACAAAATAGTTTATATGACCTCTTATGTTGAGATTATCACCCAATCTAGTAGACATAAATAATTCATTCTAGGGTATGTGAGATGGTATTGTGTACTGTGGGAAACATTAAGTGGGTTGGGAGAGTTGGGAATGGGAGGTTTTAAAATGGGTTTGGAAGTTTCAGTTTTTAAAATGATGGACATGGTTGCCTCACTGATATCTAAGCAAGTACTCGAAGGAGGTGAGGAACTTTCCAGGCCAAACATCCCGGTGGACAGAGGCCCTAAGGTAGGGTCATACCGGCATGTCTGAGGCACTGCCAGGGTGACTGGGTTAGAGAGCAAGGGGAGAGAAGAGGGAAAGCGGGCCAGAGAATGTCCAGGATGTGGTGGGGCTAAGATCCTGATCTTGTTGAAAATGTAACACCCTAGGGACTTAAGGAGGAACCCAGTCAATGTATGAGTATAGGAGTGACAGGATCTAAAATACATTTTAGTAGTCACACTGACTGTGTTGCGAATAGTCTATAAGAAGTCACAGGTAGAATCAGGGTTCTTCTTAGTTCACTGATGTACATTCTAGGTAAGAGACTATAATGAGGACTCAGTGTAGGACTGTAGCTAACAAGTTAGCGAGAAGTGGTTTGGTTCTGATATATAGCTGAAGATAGAGCCAAGAGAACCTTCTGCTGGGTTGAAATTGATGTATGAGAGAGGGAAGTGAAACTAATATAAAATGATAATGAATATAAAGTGTAATTGAAAACTAATTTTTTTTTAAGTATGAGAGAAGGGATTTGTGGAAAACTCTAGATTTTCAGCCTGAAAAACCAAATCGCAGGATGGAGCTGCTATCAGCTGCCCAGGGAAGGCTGCGGGTGAATCAGCTTTTGCTAGTGAAGACCAGAAGCTCAGGTTGGGGTGTACGAATCTGAGCTTTCTGATGGAACTACGTGCAGATGTCAAGTCAGCAGAGATGAGTATGAGCTCGGTATGCGAATCTGAGAGTCAGCAGTCTATAGATGATATTTCAAGTCAGAGGACTGGATGAGATCACCAAGGAAGGGAGCACAGATAGAGAAAAATGAGAGAAATGAGTCTTCCAACACTCTGTCATTAATAAATCTGGAAACAGTGGAGGGAGCAATAAAGGGACAACATTAAAGAGTGACCAGAGAGGTATGACATGAGGACATCCAGTAGGAGTGTACATCAGTGAGCACAGATACATCAATTGTGTCAGATGGTGGTGGTAAGATGAGGACTGAGCATTGACAACTTAAAAATAAAATTATCCACTAGTTCCTCAGTTAATGGGAGAAGCCGGTTTAAGAAGGGGATCATGGGAAATGTACATTTTATTTTAATTTAAAGTAACATCTCACTAATTTGGGGGTAGAAGTCTTCATTTTAGTATGTTTCTACTATTGAAGTTCCACATACTGTTCTTGTTTGAACAGACTGCACCTTTAATGCTTCACATATGATGTCTAGTGTTTGAGGACTTAAACATATTTGTTAGCAGACAGAGAATTTGGGAATAATCACATGTGACTAAGCATATAATCACTTTGTAAGGATGGAAGTGCATGCGGAGTTGCCCACCATGGGAGTGCTGCCCACCTAGGTGGGATCTCAATCAGTTGGTGTCACAGAAAGATTAGAAAGATCATTTTAGAAGCACTGTCTGCCGTTTATCAAATTCTTGCTAGTATTTATCATGTAATTGTATGTTAAATTCATTTAAAATGTACACACCTTAGTTGTAAATTCTTTCAATTTAAAAAAGAAATTGGGGTATACAGAGATCAAGGCAAGCTCTCACAGCTAATAGAAGGCTCACCTTGAGGCTGAGACCAGGTTTATGACTAAAGCCACCATCCGAGGCACACTGACCTATGGAACTATGTATACGTTACATGCCATTGAGTCAGCTCCTACTCCTGGCAGCCCTATGAATGAGTGGTATCCACAATGTCCTGTCCTCAACAGCCCTGCTATGCCCTGTAGACTTACACTATAGTTTCTTTTATATACGTTTGTTTATGTTTCTATAACCTGCCTCAATGAAGGTGAAGAGAACAATGATAACGCAGAGAATTCAGGGTCCAGAAAAGGCCCTAATTTTCTCAGATTTTTTTTTAAAGAACTTGAGAATCTCGCTGAAGAGAAAGAGTCGAAGTAGAAAAGGCCAAAGATACAAAGAAAGATAATCAGTCAAGCACCCTGGTTCCAAAGGAAGTGTGAGGATACAGATGAAAGACCAAAGCTTACTCCAGTAGTAAGAACATTGAATTAACGTCATTTAAAGAAGTATTGAAGCTGCTCTTCTGTTTGCTTATAAAATGCTCATATTGGCTTATTTTATAGAAGCATATTGCTGTTTTTCTATCAGGATTTTTTAAATTTCTAATTCTCTTATTCTCCTAACAGATGCTCTTAAAATACCCTTAAGGATATCAGTGGGTGAGATTCAGCCAGGCAACTATGGTTCCGATGACTTTGAAGGTGAAAACACAGAATGGGCTCTCAGTATCCGCAAACAGACATCCTGGGATGATTTTTCAAAAGCAGTGAGTCAAGCTCTAACGCATCATTTCAGAGCCATCTCTTCTGATGAATGATGGAGTCTGGATGAGGTGACGTGCAATAGCACCAGTCACTCTGGCCTCGGCCTCAGTGCAAGCAGCGTGCGATCCATCATGCTAGGTATCAGCAATCCTGCAGTTACATTTTCAGGTTCATTAATGTTTATGGGCTTCATAACCTGAGACTTAGTTTACTGACTAAACACATTAAAAACTCCCTTGTGGCAGCTGCTGGTGCTGACATTTGAGTATTCACGGTGCAGCCATTACATAACGTTCGTATAAAAATGCTTTTATGCCTCAGGTGATACTCAGAGTAAAGAACACAAAAGCCCTCGGTGCGGCTCTGTGATTGCACTTGCTCTTCTAGTTAAGTGCACGGAACTGACCACACCGCAGCTGCTTGCTGATGCACAGGTTCTGAACGCAGCTCCAAATACGCTTGGGCTATTCCAGGGTATCTGTAACCATGAACACCTTACCTCCAAGGACGGGAGTCTTAATGACGTCCAGAATTGGAAAAAGCATTTTAATGAAGACATAGTCAAAGCTTCCACCTGGGATGAATCAGGGTGATAACTGGTTATTCCCGTTCAATAGGCTCCATGAAACAGCCTCTGAGGACCTGCGGAAGATAACATTTGCTTTCTCCTGAGCATAATAAAGGCTCTGGAAAAGCTAGTTATCCCTGGTTGGTTTCTTTCCTCTTAACCCAGGAGAAGGAACATCTACAGGAACCTGTGGCCACTATGCCAGAACTGTGCTGGGCGCTTGACGTTAGCCCCTCAGCGGATCCCTACAGCAGGCTCGTTTTACAGATAGCTGGACAAGTTACACAATGACCTGCCTGAAGGCATAGTTGACAAGCAAAGCAGGCAGGACTTGAACCCCAGTCTATCTGACAGGGAAGCCTATACACTTTCAGCAGCACTGTGTTGCAAAAACATGGTCCAGTTTGAGGGAAGGCTGCTTTTCATCATGCTATTAATGTGGAGGCTTATTAGAGTAAAAAGTATCCTATTCTCTTCATTCATAAATGCTAATTCACTTTCAAAATATATATGCCGTATTTTTCGGACCATATAGCCTACACATATACTTTAAAAAAAAAGTTTTTTTACTTGCCCGGCTCTGTGTGGTCTCTGTGTGCTTGCCTGGCTCTAAAATGGTTCTAAATGCTGCTGTTTACTTTACAGGGTTGATTACATGTGTTTATGACTGTGATGTTGAGTTTTAATGCACATAAAATATTTTAGGACACTATTTGTTTCAGAATCTTTTTTTCTTCATTTCCCTTCTCTAAAAACTGGTGCGTCTTATGGTCCGAAAAATACGGTATTACTGCTAGATTTTAAAACAAATTACTCATGGCCAGGCTGGCATAGCTCAGTGGTTGAGCGTTGACCTATGAACCAGGAGGTCACAGTTTGATTCCCGGTCAGGGCACATGCCAAGGACTGTGGGCTCGATCCCCAGTGTGGACAGGCAGGAGGCAGCCAATCAGTGATTCTATCTCATCACTGATGTTCTATCTCTTTGTCCTTCTCCCTCTCTGAAGTCAATAAAAATATATAAATAATAAATAAAGCAAATTATTCACAACTTCATGTTATGGCTCTTTGGCCTGGTCATTAAAATTATCATAACTATCATAAAATATATATAGTTAAATAATTGCATTAAGAAAATAAGTCAGAAATGATTTTCTGGGTCACATTTTGCCCATTAAGCAGAGTGTTATTCAAGGGGTAGGTCAGCGTCAGGGGTCTAAATGAAGTCAGCACAGCCATGTTTTAAAGGCATTGGGCCTTCATCCGGGTAATCTGGAAACTGACAAAGGCAAATAGGTATTCACAACCATTGGGTAGATTTGCCTCTGAACAATGGTTTCTGTTCATACTTGTTACTGAGGGTGAGATACTCAAGTAGGATTCCAGGTCTAAAACCATTGATTTTTATGGGTCCTGGACTTGATTTAGCACCTGGCTGTAGCCACTTAAAATTGGTAACTACGTTGTTATTGTCATTAATATACGTATATAAGCAGTTTTACTGTGTTGATAACCCAAGCTAGATTAAAAGGACCCAGGCCAACAGATAACAGAAAGTTGCAGGCGGGGTAGGCGTCTGTATGTTGGGTCATGACGAGAATGGGTATTTAGGAATTGATCTGTGGGAGGCAAGAGATGAAAACAAGTTCCCAAGAGGGCCTGGACTATGGGAAGGCTGGTCTTACCCTGAGCACCTGAGATTATATGTGTGTTCTCTCTGGAATCTAAACCTTTGCTGGAGAGGGAGGCAGGGACCTAGTTCAGAGTGCTTGACCTTATTATGAAGCAGGCACTGGGAGAACTACGAATCCCCTCCTCAGGACAGCTTTGGAGAAGCCTGTAGTTTGAAGTCTTCCTCTTGACCTTCAACAGAAGTTCACTCCCTATGACCGTTCACAAATTGTGTACATGCCTTTGATTCCTTAGAGTTCTCACAGAGGAGATCATGCGTCAACCCCTATAAGAAAAATTCCTTTTAATCTCCTGACATTTTCCTTTTTTTTTTTTTTTGAACTAGGAAATGTGCCATGGTCAGTGAGTCAGAGCTTCACCCTGCCCCTGTGGGACTTTATGAAAAAGAATAAAGCAGAGCAAGTCACTGTGCTTTTGTCAGGCAAAGATATTCTAAATGGAGATGACATTGACCGAGCGTTTGCTTTAGGATTGTTTTGAAGTCCCAGTTCTTAAACCTGCATGTCTTTGTCCTGCATTCTTTACAATTTCAAGTAATAAAGTTTGATTTTTGTTGTTTTAACTCTACTTATAAAGTTAGGGGGGAAAAGTGTGAAACCCACCTAGAAAACCCCTTTGGGCTCAAGCAATGTATTGAGAGAGTAGCAGAACTTATGGGAGGGGGCTCAGAGGGAAGGAGTTAGAGAAGAGACCTAAGGGAAACCCCAGCCTGGCCGGTGTGGTTCAGTGGTTGAGAATCAACCTGTGAACCAGGAGATCATGGTTCGATTCCCAGTCAGGGCACATGCAGAGATTGCAGGTTTGATCCCAAGAGTGGGGCGTGCAGGAAGCAACTGATCAATGATTCTCTCTCATCATTGATGTTTCTATCACTCTCCCTCTCCCTTACTCTCTGAACTCAATACAAATATATTTTTAAAATAAATAAAGGGATACCCCAGACCTGTGCATTAATGCCAGGCAAGGCTAGAACTTTCCGAGGATTGGAACTAAGCTCTGCTAACATTTGCTTTTAAACAGTAAAATATTGAATCCGGCAGTCAGAGCCAATGTTCCTCTGTATTTTTCCTTCTCGCAGGTCCTCAGGAAGGCTGCCTCGGTAGTGTGACATACAATCTATGATCCCTCTCCAGATGCTGCAGAACTACCTCAGGCTGGTAGGTGGATGTGTTGTAGGCACCTCTTACTGACACCCGAGAGGTGTTGTTACCAGACAGTTCAGCCCCCTGAGCTAGTGAGAGAAGGCTGTCCTCAACCATGATCCTTGTCTTCCCATATAAATGAATTTATACCAGAGCCCTTGACTATGTTGTGAAAAGCCAATTTATTAACCAATTAAGCATGTACCTTAATTGAAAAAGCAAAGCAACCTATACATCTAGCTTACGAAGCACAGACAGCTAATCTGAGGAGCAAGTTGGGTGGGGGGGTCTGAGGCGTTATATACTGTCCTGTCTATCAGTCTCAAAATTCCTCTGCTGACTATTTTGGTACAGAGTCATTCTCAAGGTCCCTTTTTACTTTGTTGTGGCCTCCCCAGAATTCTTGAGAAGCACCTGGCAACTTTATCTTGCCAAGCCTGAGACTGCTGGCTTCTCTGCCTCGGAAGTAAAACTGCCCCCCCCCCTTTTTTTTTGTCCCCCTTTTCTCCCTCCCTTTTTGCTCATTAGGGAGGTTTTCTTTAACCATTTACTCTGTGTCCTTGGCTGGGGAAGATGTTGGTTACAAGCTGGCTACAGATTGCCCGCACTGTTGGGCCTTGTTTTATCTTTCCTGTCTCTATCTCCCCACCTGTGAGTGTTAAAATAAGAGCAAGAGGAAACGGTCTGCCCCTAACTAGTACTTGACATCAAATAACTAGTCAATATGGAAAAGAATGGCTGCACGTATCAAGATGCCTCGCTACAAACGCTTATAATTGAAAAATGAGTAAATGTCTGAGCATTGGTGTATTGATGTAGCCACTTTAACAGAAACAAAAAAATGATAGCTTACAGCCAGGCGTCTTCAAACTACGGCCCGCAGGCCACATGCGGCCTCAGAGGAGTCTGATCCGGCCCGCCAGGTTTTTTGGGCAGTGAGCGCAGCCGAGGTGTTACAATAGGAATTAGTAGTTCATATAGTCCGGCCCTCCAGCTCTCTGAGGGACCGTGATCTGGCCCCCACTTTAAAAAGTTTGAGGACCCCTGGACAGTGTGAGACGTTTATTTTTCTCAGATGCCGAAGGCCTCGCAGGTGACAGATCTGGGGAGGGCGAAGGCGCTGGGAGACCTCTCAGGGCTACTCTGTCCCCCAGCGTCGCCACTGCACAGCCAGGCTCCCGCATGAGGGAGGAGAGCCTGGAGGGGCGCCTCTGCCTCGGGGGGTTGCACATATCATTCCTGCCCACACCCACGGACCAGAACTTAGACGCATGTCCAGGTGGGACTGGCGCATGTGGTTTTTGGCTGCACAACCCTGTTAATGTAAGGCGGCTCTACTACTGTAAAAGGCAGAGGTAGGGAGTATGGTTATCAAGAGGAAGAAGCCAATTCTCAAGACACAGTGGGTAAATGTAATGCTTTGTATTTGTTCAGGACAGTGGAACCTCGGTTCTCAAATTCATTCTGGAAGGCCGTTCGAGGCGCAGTTTGTTCAAAAACCAAATCAGTTTCTTCCCCCCCCCCCCCATTAGAAATAAAGTAGATTGAATTAATCTGTTTGAGACCCCCAAGTCATTCCCTGCTTTAACCTTTCTTACATACAGTACATGTCTAATATAGCATTTAATCTGTAAACAGACACTTCTGAAATTTATTGAACAACCCTCCACTGGCCTTAATCACTTTCAGCCCTCGTTCCAAGGGTGCAGCAGCTTCACCTGTTCAATACCATTGCCTCTGAAATACTGCCCCCAGCTAACTGCTTTTTGTTTATTCAAATCTGTGTGTTTTTTTTAATATATTTTATTGATTTTTTACAGAGAGGAAGGGAAGGGATAGAGAGTCAGAAACATTGATGAGAGAGAAACATTGATCAGCTGCCTCCTGCACATTCCCCCCACACACACTGGGGATGTGCCCACGACCAAGTTACATGCCCTTGCCCGGAATCGAACCTGGGACCTTTCAGTCTGCTCTATTCACTGAGCCAAACCAGTTTCAGCTAAATCAGCAGTTTTTCCATCTCTTCCATTGCTCATGATCTTTGTTTGGTGAGCACTTGCATACCCTTACCAATGTCAGCACCTTTGATGGGCTTTTTATTTTTCAAAATCATGATAATCATCCATTTCACCAGCAATAAAAGGAAAAAAATATATATTCATAGCACAATTTTCTGAGATGTTACATAAGATTTAGCATTAAACTGACACACATTCTCTCCTTTTATTTGTGACCTGAGAGAGACCTGAGAGAAGCTTTTTTATAACATCAGCATGAAAGGGTTGTCAGGTTAAGAACTGAAGTTTTGTTCCAAAACGGAGACATGTTTTCCGTAAACAACTTGGTTGAGAACTGAATTGTTTAGGATGGGTGACATTTGAGAATCAATGTTTGACTGTGCTCATTACATGCCAGGCAATATGTCTTCTTTATTTATTTCCGGGAAACCTCCCTCTAAGGTAGATAATATCACCCATTTTATAGACTAGTAAACTGAAACAGAAAGAGGTAAAATAGCTACAAGGCCGCATAGCTAGTGAATGATGAAGCCAGGATTATGCGTTCCCTGATGTAGGCGGTGTCTGTGTGTGAGAGATCTATTTAAAACTAAGGTATATGGATGGTGTAAAACATTAAACAATCATTTTGTTTACTGCCTTAATTTGGAACGCTTTTCCAAAACAATGAATGGGTTTAACTGTGACCCTTTACAGAAATTGTGTTCGTTGGACCATGAACTGGTATATTTGCTCCAGATGAAAATAAATTGTGTCATCCGAAAATTAATATTATTTAATACTAGTAGTGCTGCACATGAATTCGTGTGCTAGGAGCTCTCTGTGGGGCCTTGGTGCTCTGTGCCTGCTGCCCAGAAGCTCTCCGTGGCCCAGAGGCCCATCCACAGCCAAGAGCAGATGCTTGCCTTGTGCTGCAGCAATGTAGCAAGCCTTCCACCAGGCTGCTCTCGCTGCCCGCTCTCAGTGGTTGCCCCTCCCTCCCTTCTGGGACTGGAGGACTCCGGTGGAGCTGAGAGGACTGGGTGCCACCATCTTTTTGTGATGGAGTGACTGTTACTTTGCATATTCCCCTTTTATTCGATAGGATCATTGAAGTTGTAAAAGTTAGCCATTTTTCCTGTTCTCATATGTTAGCACTCAATTTCTGAGGATTCCAAGACAATTAATATAGAATTTTAAAAAGCATTAATAATCCCTACTGTAGCAAATGGTATATTTTGTAGTTCATCACTCTTACTCTTTCAGTAAACATAGAATTTTAAATAAAATGAAACTATACCAGTTTTCATAATCTTAAAATCTAGGTGAAATAACATTCTTGTGTCCAATGATTTGTAAAATATCACCAGGTCACAGGGCCAACATGCTAGCATACAACTTTAACCATTTCTAGCAGCAAAACAGCCGGAATAGCGATTAATAAATGTATTCATTGGATTGCAGAATAATTTCTTTATAAGAAATTATTGATTTCTCATTTTTTAAAAAGTTACTCTATAGTTCATGTGCAAGCAAACATGAAAGATATCAAATATTTTATTTATCTCCACGGTTCCTATTGGCATCAGGTGCAACTGGAACCTTACTAATTGCAACAAAATGGATTCAAAGGCAGCCTCCAAAGAATCAGCAGCTGTGGCTCCTTTAATTAGGGTTGTGTTGGTCAAAGATTGTTGCTGCTTTGGAAATCATAATGGATTCCAGTGTTTTTCTACCTTTTTTTTTTTTTAATCAAGAATGTTGACATCATTAGCAGGTATAATTCCTGATGTTTAATCATCAGGACTAGCCAGAAGTCCTGAGGAAAACAAGCATTGAAAGCCATTTATTGATCTAGTTGGAATTAACTGTAAAAGCAGCTACAGTCCAATGAAAACATTCAAAAGCCTTACAATTTAGGAGAGATCTCAATCTGATACTTTTACTTATTTTCTTTGTTAGTTGTTCCTCTTTCTCGACTGCATCCAAGTAAGCCTGTGGGTTTTATACAGACGAGAAAGAGACCTGTCTCATTCCTTTGTATAAATGAAGGCTGGAGTTGTGTCACCAACTAGTTTCAGGAATGTGAGCCTCATGCTCTCAGTGGAGTCAGTTCCTACAACCACTTCCTCCTCCCACCCCCTCCTCAGCATCTCTGTACCAGACAAGATTATGACTCAGAGCTTCTCATTCACCTGTTAGATGATTAAATGAATAGAAAAGCAATGCAGCTGAATTACAACTGCATATTAGCCTTGTCTGAGTAGATCTGTCAAATGAAATATTTGCTAGTCACATTCCAATTGCAATTAAGCATGTGCCTCCTGATGCATAAGACATAGTTTGACTATCAGTGAGCAACAAACCAGAGACTAGATGAACACTGTTGTTACCTTGTTCTCAATTTAATGAGTGTACAGAAAGGGCTTTTTTAATCCAACAACTTTTGGATGAAGATAAAAACTAAATTCATTTTAGCAATCACTTCAAAATTTAAGGTGAGTGAGGTAAAAATATAATATTATAGTTGTCAATGTTTCTTCTATCATAAAAGAGAGATAGACCCCTTAAGGAGATAAATCATACGTTATACATATTTGTATCAAATTCAGTTGTTTGACAGCTATTTACTGAGAGCTTCCTAAATGCATGCAGTTTTAGGAATGTAGGATATAGCCATTTGTAAATGTTGACTTTTGCATTAGCTCAAGTGTATCTCTTAACCAATTCGTAATTTTTATTAGCTTATTCTTAATTTTTATTTTATTTTTTATTTTACTTTCTCCATCACCATGTATCCCCTCTATGCCTTCTTCCACCTCTACCTACCCTCTGCCCCCTGTTCCCCGCCCCTGGCAATCACCATACTTTTATCCATGTCCATGAGTTCTCTCTCTCTCTTTTTTTTCTCCCTCCCCAACACCCTCTCTTCCAGAGCTGTTTGCTTGCTCTTTATCCATGGGTCTGTTTCTGTTTGGCTTGATAGTTCACTTTGTTCATTAAATTGCACACATG